GAAGTATTCATAGGTATATTTAAAAAAAATTATCTAAGTTTATATTTTACTGCTTTGAAAAAAAGGATCTGACAAATGTGCTCGATTATTATGTATAAAACTATATGGTCTATATCCCAATTTTAATTCACATTTAAATTAATTATTAAAGTTTTAATACATTCAAAAACTTGAATAGTTTGAACGGATAACCTACTCATAAAGCTGTGAATTAAGAAAGAATATTGAAAACTATCAATTATATTAAGGATTTTCGCAAATTGTTAATGAATTATACACTCAATAGATATATATTATGCATTTCATATTGAATATAATTCATATAATTAACTTTACAATTACTCAGAATTACCACAATTGCCAAATGGGTTTTTAAATTATTGGCTGTTTGTTTTTAATTTATTGGCTGTTGGTTTTTAAAATATTGGCAGCTTTTATTTAATTTTATTAATTATTTTTTAACTATAAATTTTTTAATTATTATTTCTAACACGTCAATTTTTTTTACTCTTAATTAAAACTACGTAATCGTACGAATAAAAAACGTATAAAAAATTATTTAACCAAATTCGGAGTATTAGCAAGATAAATGAACAACGCCCCATTTTTATATAAAACAAGGTTACTAGGTTAAATAAATAGGTTACCACTTTTTGTCATTTTGTAGGATACTGGATAGTCGTTTTCATTTTTTACAGTTTTAAATTTTGAAATCTTAAATATGATGGCAAATTATCAATTTTATGACTATAATTGCTATTGAAAAATATTACAGTATAATTTAGGAAAGCTGTAAAAAAATACATGAATAAATTGTGACTATGAGAAAAAATAAAAAAAATATAACTAATTCATTTCTACATGGAAAAAAAACTATTAGGAAAGCTATTCGAATGGTTATCCTAATTCGTATATTAACTGGTGATCATAAAAGAATTTAAATAAAATCAACGCATTTTGCGATACTTGGGTGAGATGGTGAGATTTGTATTATAAAAATCATTCAAACACATAAATGCAAAATTTAATGCGCAGGATATAAAATAGTTTTATATATAAATATTTGAATGCGTATGAACGTTTGATAAATCAGGAACTTCAAAAAATTAATTAGTTTAATTTAGCATTTGTAACTAGCCAAAATGAAACGTATACACATCGTGTTGACGATTGACATTATGGTACAAGCTAGGTGATAAATGGATGAGACATATTTGTGCGAAAATGTAGGTGTAGGTCAGTTCTTCAATGGTTTCAATGAGTTTTTGGCTCGCACAGAAGCCTATTCTCTTTATGAGAATTCCCTATTTTTATCAGAATCACCAACCACCCACAGAGTATACATAACTAGCTTGTGTGTAGGTGAAAACAAATAAAACTTTTGCATAGAGTAGAAGATTTATACACGAATATATACTGAATTAATATTTTGTATGTAATTAAATGTTTGTTTAAACTTGAACTGAATGTGAAGGAAATGTACTAGCAAAAAACATGTCATCATTCGGTTTTTATTTTTATACTCAAAATTTTTCAATAATAAAATTTTCAAGTATTTTACCATTATACAATTCTGATTGAATGCGCCAACTTTTGATGAAACTTGCCAGCACACTTTAGTACATTTTTCTTAAGGAAGAGCCTCTCAAAGTTTACCAATTTAAAAAAATTTAAATTCATAGTTCAACAAAAAGTCTTAAATATAAAAACTTCGGGTAATTGTGTTCAAATGAACAAAATTAGTGAAAAATGACCACAATCACCGAAAAATGGTCATAATTTCACCAAAACTCTAAAAAGCTCATAATTTCCAAACAACGCGAGATATGTTTTTCTTCTAATTTTTTCTTCAAGACAGTTAAGGTCAATACCTTCACCCGGTTTCGGCTTGACGTCAAGGTCTGGGACACCCTGTATATATATATATATATATATATATATATATATGCTGTTATTAAATGTGTGATTATTATTACTAAGATTATATATTACACTCGTTATAGTGTCATATCAAGCTATTTTCTTTTAATATATTTTCCTTAGAAAATAATTTCCTCAATAACTGTGTCGCTACGATAAATACTGAAAGTAATAAAAAATACTTTTACCCCTCTTTATGGGTAACATTACTTTGGTTTTAGTACCTAAGCCTGAGGACAAGTTTTAGCTTGTTTGCAATCTTTAAAAATGTACAAAATTGGGCTAAGTAAAGATAATATGATTCAGATATTTCTTCAGATAATTTTTAAATAAATTTCTATGTCGTCTCAAAATCTCAGAAATAAGTTCTATAAACAACAATATTATATAGACTCTGAAAATATCTCAATTGAGAGTAATGGAAGAGGTACTTTCTAGTAAGAAAGTTTCATTCAAAATGAACTTGCTTTTGAGAGCGATATTTTTGGTCTGTCTATGAGCATTATAAAATATAAAGCAAAAAATATTAGCCTCAAATGACGGTTATAAATAGTGTTTTATAGTTTTTATCAAGTGTTTTATTTTTATTAGTAATTTTTATTTAGTGTTGAATACTATTTGTTTTGCTTTCTTTATTTAGTGCTATGTATTACATTGTAAGGTGTTTATGAACTCTAAAATACTATATATTTTTTTTGTTTATCTTCTGCATATAAGGTGCACACTATAAAATGGAAATCTATTGTAATATTGCCATGGGCGTTAAATAAATAAATTAAAAAAAACTTTATGATTCGAAGTTACAATTGTACAAAATATGTAATTCACAAATGACATCCAATAACATAGAAACAATTTATTTTACCCTTAAAGCATTCTACATATCACAGCTTTCTGGATCAACTCAAAGTTTGTTGGCAAAGGCAAGAAGTATCATGGAAAGACCGCTTACTATTCCTGATAATCCAAACAAAGATCGATACATATTCTCGAACAATTTCTTTATGTAAATTGAATTTCTTAAGACATCATTTCATTATCCAATATATTTTTACGACAAGGAACTGAATGTAGTACACTCTGTTTACAAGTGTATTTTAAATTGGTGCAAATTCCTAAACTAGTACTGTGTTTGTGAAATAATGCAAAACCATTTGTATCGAACTCCTGGGAAACTATTTCATTATTTGCTCGTGAACTGAATTCGTTATTTTCTGCTAAGGCACATTATTATAAATTCAAAATATTATTGAACATGGATGGAACACGTATTTTGATATGATTCTTGAAAATATTGATTTATATCAATAGGTTTCAACAAATAAATTAATATAAGTTTATTATAAAAATTGTACTTGCCGGAGTACATTAATATCAGGTACAAAATTGTGACTAAAGGTTACCACGGTTTATTTTATCTGCATAATTAAGCCAATGATAGAATTTTTTAATTTTATTGAGAGTTTCATATTCATACACATTTCATTATATATGATTTTAATAATTGCTACTATTATAACATTGGAACTCTGAAAATAATAGTGCTAAAGACACGAGATCTGAAACGTTTCATCAAAAACCAATTTTGAGATTTTTTTAAGGCTTTTAAAATTTCAATATTGCAATTTATCTCTAAAGCGAATTTCCACTCAAAAGTCATGTTGTAATTAGGACTGGCATTATTTATAAATTATATAGTTTGATCACATCAGTGTTTAAAAAAAAATTAGGATAATTCATTATATCACTAATACTTCTTCATGAACGTTGATGAGATGATAAATATGCAATTAAAATATCTTTAACAACATTACCTATGTGAATAAGTCGTAGATGTATGAAGAATTTTGAAACTCAACAGAGCTCTTTAAAATACATTGGCACAAATACGACATAAATATATCATTTTCTGACATTAATTTTCATTATAAAATTAGGCATTAAGTATAATACATATCAAGAAAATCTTGCCAAATAAACTAGAATGAGTCATGAATTGTATAGAGTTACGTACACTTGTTTTCTACGACCAAATTATTCAAACACCGTTTTAAATATGAAAATGGAAATTATACGAATCTTAACTCGAGCTTTTTATAAATGATTGAAAAGGTCAAATTGATAAATTATTGAATACTTTTATGAATGCCATAAATATAAGGTACAAATTATGAATTCTATAGAAGTAATTACAACTCACAACAAAAAAGTTTTTATAAATATTAATAAATATATGTAATTAATAAACGGAGTTTAATACATTACGGAGTAAATAAGTGTTTAACTTTCCGTAGAGTAAATTATAGTAATCGCAAAAAATCGAATACGACAATTTTTACATATCTTTGTGTTTCAAGGCTTTCTGAACATTTTGGCAATTCTTAAAAATGAATGGTTATAGTATGCATTTGTATATGCTCAGATTCAATTTTTTGTCAACAATTCCAAGAGCACAGACCAACCGATTTGAATTATTCAAAAACATTCGATTTTCATTGGTGGGAAGATGTGCTGATTAGTTTTTAGCAAAGACAGATCCAGCCGTTTTGAAGATACGGGCCAAAAAATACAAAAAATGACAATTCCGTTTTGGAGAGAAATAGATCATACGATTAGAATTATTGAAAAAGCATTTCACTGGAGTGAAAAATTGATTACATTTTTGAAAGGCAGCAGCAGAAATCTAGCAGTTTTGTGCATGGAAAAAAATCTATAAAAAAAATACCTTTAGGGATCAAAAATTATCATTGGAGATAAGCATCAAATTATTTTTATTTTATTATATTATAATGTTTTATTTTATTAAGATTTTAATAATAAGTATAAATTGTGTTTTCATTTCTTTGGGTTCAATACAGCTTGTCGTCTAATTCAAAAGCTTTTATATTTTGATTATAAAATACGAATAATGAAAGTTACAGTATTTAAAATATTCTATTAAAACAAAATTCTAAACAATTATTATTGATATTTATTCCTCGAATGCTGTGGACCACAACTTGTGGCCCCAAGGCACAATGCTATGCACCACTAGTTTATTATTGAAATGTGTGTTTAATACAAAATTTAATTCTACATACCTGTAAATGATCAAGAAGTGCTTCTAATCCCCTATCCGAAATACTGGAACATCTTAAACTTAAAGAATGAACATGCTTGGATGCTAAAGGGAATGAATGAACCATATCCAAAGCATCTTCGTCCGCAGCGCCCATCAAGCAAACGGCACGAAAACCTCTTCTCAACAAAGAAGCATAAAGCCTCGCTCGCTCTGGAGCCGCGCTCTGCCTCAATTCGCGACATTGAAGTACGGGCACTAAACCAGACCAATAACCAGGACTCCTATAAAGAACATCTCTCCACCTGCTACAAACTTGCGCTAAAGTTTTCCTTTCAGCAGATGTAAAGTACATAAACAGCCTTCCTAAATATCTTTCATCCAGTAATAACTGCTCCCAGGACGTCCAGGCCACAGTCTGTGGCTGAGGCATGGGTTGTACATGTTGTACATGTGCTTTCCTGACAGGCTGAGGCGTGCCTCGGGTCGCGCGACCTGTCAGCCTGGATGGCTTTTCGGGCGCCCCACAAAAGACGTTTGTGACCCTTTCCATGACGCTCGTTTTGCCGGAGGTGCCATGTGAATGATGTTTGCCCGAACGCAGACCCAGGCCGTTGATGCGTTTTGACAACTCGGCCGATGCGCGCTCAACGACTCCTTGAGCGGACATCGATGACATTGATGGCACTGGACGGAATGGAGACGATTTCTTTAGGAACGGTATCGCGGCGGTTCTTAATAGGAACTTAGTCACGAAATTGGTAATGGTTTTGCCATGGATGGATTTTAAATATTAGGGTTAACACTTTGTCTACTAGTTTTATTCAAACACTATTACTCGATAGAAAATCATATATTTCACTCATATTCTGTTGTATTCTAAAATAGATTATTTTGCAGAAATAAACTTTGTACTCTTATTCAGTATGATCTACACACATGACTGTCGTTCACTTGATTTTATACATTAGCTGCTTCCAAGTGTTTACTGAAAATAAAAGCAAAATATGATTAATAATAATATTGATTTTAAAACATTTATAATTTCATGTGATTTTATAAAAACAATACATCATAGGGCAACATACAGCTCATTTTTTAAATTAACAATATTATAATGGTTATCAGTGTATGCCATATGTTATAAATTTATAACATTTGTCGGAATTAATATAATTAGATTACTATTAATTTAACGTACTGAGAGCAAGAATTCTCAGTTTATAATAGTATGTATGAGTGAAATATAGAGCTTTATTGCCACTTCGTATTTATTATAATATGCTATAGCTACAAAACAATAGCTGTTCAATATTTTTTATTTAATATCCGGAAATTGCTAATCTCTGACATTAGTAGTTTCATAAAACGTTAGATTTTTATTTGTGCAAAGCCTATTATAGTCAAAATAGACATTCAACTTCGGAATAATTGAAAATTGGTACAGACGTTAAATAGACCATTATAAATTTCCCCATCGATCCGACTTCTGTAATTTTTTTACTCAATATCAACATTTCTTTTCATTTCATTTAGTAATTACAACTGTCTATAAAATATGACATCTAGTAATTTTTTGATTAATATAAAAAGAAAGGGCATATCATTCCGATATCAACATAAATTTAGTTCCCACCATTTTTGCTGAAACCATAAGAACTATCCAACAACTATATAAGGCAGATTTGTTCATTATAAAATTTTCTGCAAAATTGTTTTTATTATATTTTTTCATCAGAGTCACCGATAGTGAGATATTGCCATTTGGAAAATGCATATTCATCATAATATACAGCCATAACGTCATCGTACGTCTAGTATAATTAAAACATAATATAAGATATAAGAATATAAAAGATAATATAAAATATAAGAATCCATAGTTTTGTGTTTAGATAATTTTGGTTCAATGAGTGTTTTAAAGTATCAGACTACAGTGTCAGCCCCTAATTACTTTCTTCTTTGAGCAAAACCAGTCATTTTCCTGGTGTCCAGGTAACATACCTGTTTGTAATGAGGGAAAGCAAAATATTTAAGTATAAATGAATGTGCAAACATTTATATTGTCAAATTGAATAAATCAGTTTCTGATGACAAAATATAAAACTCTATTCTGAATAATTTATTCAGAATTGGCTAATGGTTTTTGGTGAAGGCGAGCCAACCATTTCGAAAAAGCGACGGTAAAAATGTGAAAACTACCATTTTTGTCAAATTGTTATGAAAACGTTTTATAAATTTAACAATTAAAGGCATCTAATTAAATCATTATTACGATGTTGACTTTAATATATTATATTCCAGAAAAAAAATCGAAGAACAGCAGCATTTTTCAATTTGTTCAAATATTTAGCTCTGTATATGAGAAGAAAAGTTTTAACAAAATACTTAAAAAAATTTATGTTATATTATTCAGAACAAATTCTACATTTTCGTTATATAATTAGTATAAACAATCATGAACGAATGCGTTAGTGAAATAATAATATACAATAATAATAAGATGCAAAATTGTAAAAATATTTGTACACGACTCTAATTAAGTAATATTGAAATACGACTATATATAGCGTGCAATTCAGAAACAGAAAAGGCAATATGAATTCTAGAAAAGCGTTTGCATTATTAGTACATAAATCGCCGTTACGTGCACATGTATCCCACGCTTGACGCAATCTTATAATAAAAATTTCTTAGAAATCAATAACTACAATCATTCCACACAAAAATTACTGCATTATTATATATGGGGACAATGTATATATATATATATATATATATATATATAAATTATATTTTTTTGGTATTAGTTTAATTTGGATCATTTAAGTAATCTCATGAGATTTAGAAAAATTTACAAATTACTGCGAATGGAATCAATTTCAAAGAATATGTTATAATATGGTTTAAAGAAATTGTTTATTAGTTTGAGTGTTATATCAAAATGGTATGAATGCTTCTTGTTTTAATTTATTTTATATTTTAAAATTTATTTATACGTTTCGGATAACATCTAAGACTGTTCTCAGTTTTTATCCCAAATTGAGAATAGTCAGTACACAGTTTCGATAACTTAATGTTTATTTGTGTGTTTTGTGGTAATGCCAAAATACATAGATTTTACAAAAGTGCACATCTTAATACCATGGTGCAATAGTGTTTCATAAATTAAGGATACTCAATTATATAAAGATTAAATAAATTTTTAATAAAAAAAAATTCTTGATGTTACACCTGATCTTTAAAACAAACATATATAGTATATACATATATATATATATATATATATATATATATATTTAATAACTTAACTTAAATTCTCGATTTTCCATAAATCAATATTGCAAGAAAATAATTTTTGCTTCTCAATTCCTAATATCTTGGTACATGTTTTTTTTTTCTTTTTTTACAATAGGTACGTAATCAATGTCTTTAACATTTTTTCAATACTCTATAATCATAATCGTCAAGAGTGTGATTTGATAAAAAATTGTTTTTCACCTTATGAAGAAAAATCTTATGATGGAACGTATGTAGATCCGAAACGTCGTAAACATCTACAAAAAACTATTTTTTTTCTTTATTGGATTAAATATATATATATATATATATATATATGTGTGTGTGTGTTTCCAAACAATTAATCCAATAAGTAAAAAAACAAAAAAAAAATTTAATGTATTATCCACGTTTCCGGAGTATGTTTTCTCTTCAGAACATCTGCATTATTGATTGAACACTAATATTTTATATGCCACTAAAACCCATTTTTTTACAATAAAAAGTGTGTTTATTAACTTTTTTTAAGAAAAAGAACAATTATTGTAATTTAAAGTTATTAGGTATATTGTTTTTCGATATTGTCATGTGAGACAAGAAGTATTATCTGAGATGTTGTAGAGAAAAATCATACTTTTTCTTTAAAAAAAATAATAAAAACAAATCGACACACTTTTTATTGAAAAAATTGGTTTTAATGACATGTAGAATGTTAGAGTATAATCATGCAGATGTCTTGAAGATGGAACCCACTTAGTTCCGAAACGTTGATAATAAATAAAAAACTTATAGTTTTTCATTACCATTGGATTCTTTTGGAACTATTAATTGGTATTATTGATTAAACATCAACATTTTGCCACAAAAATCTATGCCACTAAAAATATTTATTTTCAATAAAAAGTATGTTGATTTGTTTTGATTAACTCTATTAAGAAACAAAAACAATTTTTGTAATTTGAAGTTATTATGTATATTCGAGTTTGTCATGTGAGGTAAGAAGTATGTATTATCGAAGATGTTACAGAAATACTATCATGCAAAAAATATACTTTTTCATAAAAAAATAATAAAAACCAATCAATACAATTTTTATTGAAAAAAATGCTTTTCGTGACATATAAAGTGTTAGTACATAATCATTCATATGTCCTGAAGATGGAACGTACTTAGTTCCGAAACGTCGATAATAAATAAAACTTATATAGTTTTTCATTACAATTGAATTCTTTTGGCTTGGAACTATTGATTGGTTTTATTGATTAAACACCAACGCTTTGCCACTAAAATATATGCCACCAAAAAAATTTTTTTCAATAAAAATGTATTAATTTTAACTTTATTAAGAAAAAGAACAATTTTTGTAATTTTAAGTTATTAGGTGTATTTGAGTTTGTCATGTGAGGTAAGAAGTATGTATTACCAAAGATGTTATAGAAACACTATCATACAAAAAATGCACTTTTTCCTAAAAAAAAATAATAAAAACAAATCGACACACTTTTTAGTGAAAAAATTGCTTTTTGTGATATATAATGAGTTAGTATATAATCATGCAGATGTCCTGAAGATGGAACGCACTTAGTTCCAAAACGTCGATAATGAATAAAATTTATGGATTTTCATTACCATTGGATTCTTTCAGAACTATTGATTGCTATTATTGATTAAACACCAACACTTTGCCACTAAAATATATGCCACTAAAAATATTTATTTCCAATAAAAAGTATGTTAATTTGTTTTGATTAACTCTATTAAGAAAAAGAACATTTTTTGTAATTTGAAGTTATTAGGTATGTTCGAGTTTGTCATGTGAGGTAAGAAGTATGTATTATCCAAGACGTTACAGAAACACTATTATGCAAAAAATGTACTTTTTCATAAAAAAAATAATAAAAACAAATCGACACACTTTTTATTAAAAAAATAGCTTTTAGTGACATATGAATCGTGTATGATCATGCAGATGTCCTGAAGATGGAACGTACTTAGTTCCAAAACGTCGATAACGAATAAGAAAAACTTGTGATTTTTCATTACCATTAGATTCTTTGTTTTAAGCTCTACACACTCTCTATTTACAAATCCAGGACTCTACCACCTAATATATATTAATAAACTGAATTAAAAAATATGCAAAATTATAGAATTAAAGTATATATTCTGCTCAATTCAGATTATTATTTTATTACAATAAAACGATTTACTTGCGTTGTAACTATTGATATGAATGGACTCAAAAAGCTCATCATTAGGTTCAAAGCTTTAAGAAAAGCAGCATGTAGATGCAGTAATTTGATAAATAACTTTCTAAACGAATTCACGATTATAATTGTACTATAATTGCACTCAAATAAACTAATAATAATAAACTATTACATTAATTCAATCTCACCTTGTTCACGTGTATCTATGTTTCAAGTTCACAACAACAGTATTTAAACCTAAACATCTATCTAAAATTAATCAAATGGTTTTTCGGTGTTCATTAATATTTACATAGACAACAACCAAAAAAAATCTTTATATATTATATGATGTTTTTATTTGAAAACAGAAAAAAAATCGTTTAGCTGCTCCGAGACCGGGCTTCGCTAATAACATATGAAATCGCGACGCGCACAATCAATCGCAAAGCTAGCGCGAAACTGCTCGACTGCCAGACCGCACGACTCGCGCGTGGATAGGGCACGCCGCCATTGTACGAACGCCGAATTCGTGCGACGCGGTTCGATCGATAGTGTGGCTAAAAGAAAATTTGGATACTGCAAGGATTGAATCAGCTTATTTGCTATGATTCTGAATTAATAATATTTTTATTCTATTATCTGCAAAAAGACACCGGATTGATGTTTTGGACATTTGTTAGATGATAATTGCACTATTTATATTTATTTACCATTTCAGTCCATTATGGAACTGGTGCATGGCATCTTGCCTTAAGGGGCACAACTAGTGTGAAATTTTCAAAAAATCGAATTTTAAAAATAACATACCAAAATTTTAAATCGATATCTTAAATAGTTTTCAAGTCACAGCTATTTAAAGAGTATATATATAGTACATAGTATAACGATCATTTAATCTTTAAACGCGTTTTTCTCGAAACAGCATTTTCCGAATTTGCTGCAGCAATTACTCAAAAACAAATGATCCGATCACTATCAATTTTTTTTTACATGTTCTATATATAGTTCTCCGTAAAATGAACTATATCGATTTTTTAATCGGATCAAAAATCGAATTTTGGCAGTCCAAAAACGACCAAAATTTTGGGTAAAATTCGACTTTTGTTTAAAAAACGCCGTCATTTTGTCAATTTTTTATTTTTTTATCGTAGTTTATTTTACAGACAATATTATCTAGTTTAACGAGATTTTTTTTTTTAATTTCATTCACGTAGAAGGCCGGAATCACTGCAGCAGTGAAGGGCCTTTTTTTGTCGCGCCGTTGGAGATCGACGATAACTTAAAAAATATTTAATTGTTTTCTTCAAAAATTTTACTATGCATTCTTAAAACATGTATAAATATATTCCTAAAATTGTGAAGTGATTGATAAAGTAGTTTTTTTTAATATAAATTCCCAACCTTTCTTTAGGCGGTTACACTAGTTGTGCTTCTTAAGGCAAATTGCTGAAACTTTGCCAGAAATTAAAATTTTTAAAAAAGTTTTGAAAATTTTTCAAAATTTTGAACAAATTAGATTTTTAAAATTATGAATTTTTTTTAACAAATTTGACTTTTTAGATTTTTTTTATAAATCGAAATTTTTGAACTTTTCAAATTGCAATCTCTAGTTGCAATTTAAAATCTCTGTAAAAAAATATCTGATAATTTGATGTGCATATGCCTAATGATCATTTTTGTTCAAATGACATTTCTTTACTTTTTTCTGGATTTTTGAAACCGATGGAGCTGCATTTGCATAAATTTAATCAATTCTTTATTACGTCAATACTACTAGAATGTTTTTTGAATCATTCAAATAGGATGCCCCGTTCTCTCTTAATTTCCTCTCAACTTAATTTCCATTTTAGCACTCTTTGCCCTGTATCTCCAAAACGGCTGGACCAACATAATGCAAAATGCTTTTTTGCATTATGTTGTTTGCGTTTGTCTTCTTATCAATAGGATTCGAATGCTTTTTGGATGGTTCAAATCGGTTGATCCGTGTTCCCGAAATCATCGACGAAAATTTGTATCTGCACATACACACACATATACATCATTTTTTTCTAAAGTAAGCTAGAATGTTCACAAACCTCTGAAACGTAAAGATATATACAAAAATTCATTTTCGAATTTTTTGCTATTACTATATAGCTTACCCTATGGGAAGTTAGAAACTGAACCTACCTAACTATAACTATTGTTATAGTTAATAGTTAATAGTTATAACTATTGGTGCATAGCATTAATAGATTAAAAAGTATTTGTGATAGCATTGTGCCTTAAGGCAAATTGCTGTAATATCCCGAATCGTAATTAAATATTCCAAGTATAAAAATTATAAAAAAACAGTTAAGAATTGGTCAATAATTATTATCAATTGTTTTAAATATATTCAAATAATTATTATACAAGCCATATGTGTTCTGAATCATTCTAATTAGATGGTCCGTTCTCTCAAAAATTGTCATGTTCTGTACTTTTCTCCGTATCTCCGAAAAGGCTGGACCTACTTTTGCCAAAAACGTATCAGCACACGTCCACCCGAATCGGATTCGAATTGTTTTTAATCGGATGATCCGTGCTTTCAAAATTGAGGATAAAAAATTATATCCAAACATACACACACATACATATATTTTTTCTATGGTATGCCAAAATGTTCAGAAAGCCTTGAAACGAAAAAAAATCGTAATAAAAAAATATTTTCGTTTTTTTGCGTTTTCTATAACTTTACACGGGTAGTTAATTATAATTAACTATAGTACTATAATACATTCGCGCAATAAATAATTCGAAATCTTTTGCTGACTGTGTGTACGTTATAAGTAGTTAAGTCATGAAGGAATTACTTGCAATCAATATTTACATAGTAAATTTTGTATACATATATTTTTTATGTATTATTTGTTTATGATCATCGCCGTATATCTTCTACACCTACATAACCCAAGTACGTATATTAGAACTATGAGCAAGATTACATTCATATACATATACCATTCGCATCATTATATTAAAATTTTAATTGATTCCTTATTTATTTATTTAAAAAAATACTTTGTTATGCATATTAGGTAGAGCGGTTTCATGAGATCATGAAATTATATCTTTAATTTGATTTTAACGGTATTCACTTTTTGTAACATAAGTTTTGTTGTAGTCTGAGTATTCTTGCAAAAATTATGAAAAAATATCTTGATAAATATATTTATGCACACACGATTTTTGCTGCTAATAAATCACCTAAAACACTTATACAGATCTACAATAAACGCGGTTTACAATAATCTACCGCGGTCTACAACATATTTTAAAATTAGTATGTAAATTAGTATGGGTTTGATGAAATATTATTTTCATCTTACTATCAAATTAAATATCAAATCTATGTATGATTTTCTTACGTGGAACAACATAAACCTGCAACTATGGCTTCGTCTTGCCTCGGAGGGCTGATTACGCTCAAACTCTGAGTAACTCTGAGAATTTTCCTATCTATATATAAACAACTAGTAATGCTAAAACGCCACATATTATGAAGAAATTCTAAACGAATAAACCTATATTTTTTGAAATAAACTTGAAAGATTTATAATTTTGCTAATTTTTAAAGATCAATTTTGTTAAAACTTTGGGAGCATCAATATCTCTTCAGGTTTTTCCTTTTTGCATTCTCATCACTTTGCGTTTTTAACATTCTATTTACGATATTTTATAAATGAAATTGCATGCTTTATACTGGTGGTCCTTCATGCTCCAATCAAAAGTGCCTAGTTAGTAGTTAACTAATCACTCTCCAAAAGGAAATCATTGCCTACCTCTTTATTTTATAGTTTGCGCACATTTTTTTAAATACGGTATATAAAAGCTTATATAACGGATGTTTCTTATAAACGCAAGGCTTTCTAAATAACACAGCATTTTTTTTTTAAAATAAAACTTATTCATACAAATTTCTCATTTCTCAAAACTATAAATCACATTTCTGTGTGTTCGAGAAATGTGATTTTTATATTTTTAAAATCAATTTTGAGATTAATATATTAATCAAATGGCTTAAAAGTTACAAAAGATATAATAAATAAATGCACAATAATACCAATCATAATTAACATTTTGTTTGAACATTCTAAGCGAGTAAAATTTACGTTTTTCAGACAAACTGTTCATAACTCGGTGCATAAATTATAAATTTCTAAAAATGTAGTTTATATAATATTTCTTATATTTTTCAATAATCATATTGTTTTTGAGAACTTTATTAATACAAAAGATTTTTTTTTTTGTTTCTTAAATGTAGTCAAATAATTTTAGTAAATAATACATTGTAATTTAATATTATAATATATATATATATATATATATATATATATATATATATATATATATATATATATATTATTATATATTTCTTTGAACTTAAAACCTCTTTTTAGAAAAAGTAATATTTATTTATTTATTTAGTTATAATTATTACTATATTTTGGTGATATAGATGTCCATTTCAAAAAGTATTAACTATAGTTTTTTATATGTTTATAAAATTTTTTAATTAATACAAATATTTCTTGGACTATCAGATTCTTGAAATTCGCTGGCATGATCTTTGTTTTGAATGATATATTGTTTTTTTAGATATATAATCTTATAATTTTTTCTGAACTAAAAGCTTCCTATAAATATTCATATTACAATTAGTTGTAATATAAATGTACATATAATTCGCTATAAAAAACACAGTTAATTTTTTCTAAATTATTCTTTTTTCAATGATATTATATTACAATTTTAATATACATTAATATATCTAATAAATATAAATTTATTATTTACTTCTAATTCAATATTTGAACTATTTTGCCTTGTCACATTTACCACAGCATTCTTTCTTTATTAGTAAATCTGGTTTATGGTTAGGAGTCCAAGGGCCTAAACTATTACTTGCATAGTAATCCATAGGATAGCTGTCTCCTTGACAATTGCCATCTCTGAATTCAATATCATTGAGGGAAGCTGATAATTCATAAGGTGTTAATAGGGGTTGAGCAAATGCCTCGCCCCAATCTATTGATAATCTGGGACAAGCCACTTGTACAAAAGCATCAATGTCTTTAAACAACTTTAATTTTTGAGGAAAAATTTCAGATAGTAGTATATTTAAAACTGTTTTTCCTGCAAGATCCAAGCGATTTTGAAGTTGTTCCAGTACTTTGGGACTACCCTGGTGCCCTAAAGTTCCAAATATCAAGCCAAACTTCTTAGCATTAGCAGCTGTTTTTACTGCCTTCCTTCTAGTTAAGCGCATCTGCTCATGTTCATAAAACTCTTCTGTAAACTTTTTTTCATAAGGGTCATATCTATAAGCTTTCAATTTTGGATTGGCAATCATAGCTGCTTCTAAATGAAATCTTCCATCACCAATATAAATCAAAATATCAGCATTAGTGATATAAGGAGCAGTACATCCTAATATTTCACCAGGTGATAAAGGTTTGGATTGGGGTATTGTAACCTCGTATCCAGCTTTACGCAGGTCATTAGCTGCCGCTTGTAAAGTAACTACAAATTGTATTGTACTAACTAAAGCTATTTTAGCTGTATCAGGGAAGTTTAATTTTACAGTTTCTGTAAAGTGCAATGCATCTATTTTTATATCAACAAAAATATAAAGAACTTTAATATTTCTTGTTTGATCAATGGGAATTAAGCAGCTATGACCGTAATGAACAAGCAGGTCCGCTTTCAAAGCAATAGCAGTGTAATCATCTATGCAACATGCACCATATGTCACATCTCCCATAATTATTGTATCACAGTCTGTGAACTTTGTTAATATGTCTGAAATTGTAGTTGCAAACATCAGGAGACCTGAAAATATAATAAAAAATCTACATTGTTATTGTTACATATATCAAATTAATAGCTAAATGGAAAATAAAGGTTTGTTAAGGGAAGACACCAGAAAAGCAAATCGAAGATACTTTGTACTTCAATAATAAATAAATATGGTGCTACTAATCAAATATTCATCAGTCGATTTTATTGATTCAAATACAATGTTTCAGTTACATTTACAATATTACCTTCTGGCATCTGTAGTGCAACACGTTTTGCCTTTGTTTCTTTTATTCTCCATATCGTTTTAGGAATTTCAAAGTTATAATTTTGGGGAAGTGCACTTATTGCATCTTTCAAGTCTTGGTTATTTAGCAATTCATCTGGTATTTTGGTAACTGTTCTAATTGGTTTAAATACTTTACGTTGTGATTTTGCTCGCACTACAACAACTCCAGATTCTTCCATCTTATAAAAGATTATTAAATTACAGAACTTATATGGAGATATAAATAAAAATCTTATCGAAGTTTGTATAGCTAGCTAGCAGAGCATTTTGGTGAGCGTGGTTAATATATAAATCTTGATTTTTCGCTCCGAATTATTAAAATATTGTCATATATTCAGTTAAATTTAATTATTTAATCTTTCTGTTAAATATGTTCTGCATTTTTTATGTTTTTGATATAAACTTTCATAACAGATTCATACATAACCTAAAATATTTATAAAAATGTCATTTTGCAGAAGTGCCAACCCACACGATTATTTTCGCTTGGTTTTAAATATGAAATATGGTTCAAATAATTTCAATATAGACTTTTATTGAGTTAGACTTGATTAAATAATGAAAATATAATAATATGTATTCTATATGTACCACATATGTACTATGTATGAATGTAGTATATCGACAAGGCCTTATTGAGCCTTTATCATTCTTATATTGAGGACATAAACAATTAGATTTTGGCTCGAACTAATGTGTTTTGTATCAATGAGTTGCACCACATATCTTTATTTATTACTATTATTTTATATTGTTATATAATATATAAACACACATTATTTCATGTATATTATATGCGATAGAAAAGGACAGAAATCTATTAAAATTTAATATTTGCAATTGATGTGACTTATCTTAATCATAATCATAAAATTCATTTAAATCATAAAATGAGAGCGATTTAACAAATTATTTTAGGTATTTTTTAATAGTAAATATATATATCTATATATATATATATATATATATATATATATATATATAGTAAATATATATATATATACAGGGCCGGTCCTGGGGTCCTCAGCGCCCGCATGCAAGATTTGTTCTAGCCCCCCCCCCCCCAATAATTTTAACTGTTTTAACATTTACCATTAAAATTATATGATTATTTACGTAAATTCACACAAAAATTAGAAATACTCTAAAGGTGTATGAAATACATTGATTTTAATTTTATTTAGAAAATCGAAGCGATTTGCGGGTTGACCATGATTAAATATTTTATATTTTCAAGTATTTCTAACATATATGTAATATTAATATTTGGATTTTGAAACATTTCACATATTTCATTAAACTCATTTTTATTTTTAAACATAACATGTTAGATTTTTAAAATTTTATTTTGATTTTTTTTTTCATTATTTACAATATCCAAAATTGCATCAGGAACTTATTAATATTGTAAAGCCAAATTGTATTCATGTTTACTTTCCCATCTGATTCAGAATATCAGATTGCTGTTTTAAAGTTAAATTTTTAACGTATTTTAAAATATGCAAAGAAATTACATATTTCCTAAACTATATCGAAAACAAAACATAATTATATTTGCATCTGTATTATTTCTGCTTAGTTAATAATTAAATTTAGTATGGACACCACTAGGTATAAAAAAGGTCACGAGTTTTGTTTCTAAGTTCATTTTGCTTCCATTTTTCATATTTGCTCCATTTTCATAAACCTAACCACGCATGTCTTCAAAGTTCAAAGTTAATCAGATGCGAAACATTTTCAACAAATACAAAAGTTAGAATTAAGTTTCTCGGTCTTATAGTCAATTTCTATGCACTGACTTCCCATTTTCCATTTTTCTCTATTATAATTTGTATCTATTTTTTTTAACAAGATCTGTTTAAACTAAATCACCTCGCAATTTTTCATCAATAATGCCCAATAATTTAAACTTTCGTAGGTTTGCGCTTACGGTATTGAACACTAGATCATTTCTGTTTCAATTCTACATTAACTTCGATCGAAGAAAAATTTAATGAGTTCATTAAATAATAAGCAGAACAATAATTTACTAATTTGCATGAGTAATTAATTGTTTCTACATATATCACATTGCAAACTGAATATGCTTTCTGTTTCTACATATCCATAGTTAAGTTAGATTGTTTATTATAATCTGTTAAGTATTTTAGATTTCATATTAAAAAAAAATACGAATGATATATTATTTTCCAAATCTCGTTTTGGCGCCCCCTAAGGCGTGCGCCCGCATTTTTTGCATGCATCGCATGCAAGGCAGGACCGGCCCTGTATATATATATATATATATATATATATATATATATATATATATATATATATATATATATATATATATATATATATATATATATATATATATATATATATATATGTATGTATTTGATATAAAATGCAGCCTTATCATAAAAGTTTTAAAATTATTTTCAATTCTTGTGTTCTTATACATTTCAATATTTAGGTGTGTTATCATTCAGTTAAAATAAATTTTACAAATTTATTACTTATTTTACATATGCATATCAAACCAAAAACAAAATAATAAAGCATTGAAATTATTGAAGACTAATAATAGTATTGTTTGTAATATTTTCTTTATTTCAACAAGGATTAAATAAACATTTTAATATTTATTTTTGCTTATTTATTGTGTTTTCAGCTTGTATAAAAATGCTTCATTATTATTATTTATTTTAAAACTTTTTTTTTCAAAAGTTCTTTTTAGAAATTAATGCCAGAAATGTTTTTAACGAAAGTGAGTCTTTTTTATGGTTATTGATTCACTTCAACCTATAAATTTCCAAATTTTATTTGTTTACTAAAAACATAGAACATTTATAAAGTATTATTTTATCAAAAAACAATCTGGTTCAAAATAGATTCCATAACAATTTTTTAGATAATTTGATAATTACATGTTGTTTATGGAAAGTATTATTTGTGCTGAAAAAGCAATCTTAAAATAACCAAAATTATATAATGGAAATTATATTATGTTCATATGTAAAATATACACCACAACTATTATACAAGGAATATATATTTTATATAGATAATACAATAATGTATGAATTATATAACAGAACAGAACAATTATACTATTGTAAATCCATTTTGTGAATAAAAAAATTTTATATATAATTCATTACTTAAAATAATAATAAAAATACACACAACATCACATTCAATGCTAACAGTCACTCATCTAAAAATAGCAGTACTATAAAAAAGTTTTAAAACTCTTAAAACAATTACAAAAATTAATCAATAAATAAAATTCCTATATTATAATTGGCAAATTTTTCGTAGACAATTTGTTATTGTATGATCCTGGTGACACGTTGCTGGAAGATCTGGTCAATCCAGGTGTTTTATTCTGACCTGAAGTAGTAAATGTATTCTGCCGAGTCATTCGAGTATTCTTTGATTGTGGTGGGGTATTTTCTGAAATAATTATTCTTGGCGGAGTTTTAAGCAAATTTCCAGTTGGTAAAGGCATGTTATTGTGTGCTATACTGCTTCTAAGATGGGAATTCTTGGATAAATGTGTCTACAATATATAAAAAATTATGATAGAAAGTGTAAGAAATTTTTAAATTAGTTAATCACAATTGTGAAATCCAAATATTTAGTTACCTTAAATTGTGCATAAGCCTTTGAAGTATTTAATAATTCTTCTGGTGCCACATTTGATAAGGTTTTCTTCATTTTAACAGCTGATTTTTGATTTCCAGACTACAGAATAAAGATCATTAATTTGTTATTTATATTTAATAAAGGTTTTATCATGCAAACATCAGTAGAAAATAATCCCACCATAATTTAAGAAATGTATTTGTTTTTGTTCAAAAAAATCATTGTTAGGATTGTAAGTATTATGTCGAGTAATGCATTATCAAAGCAGTTAATGAATATTATTATTTTTTCATTAACACAACATATGTCATATCAATCAAAATTTATATGCGAAATGTCTCATATATAATGAACAAAAAAATATCTGTACAAACATAGGAGTAATGGTAGTTTCATAAAATTTTTTGCTACATACCCTTCTCTTAAATGAAGACTGTCCTTTTTTCAAAGACAACACATTGGTATTCACTTTTGTTGCTCGAGGTGTATTGGTATTTTTATTGGGAGTTTTCAAAACCTGAAATGATGCAAAATGCATTATTCAATCAATAATTAACACTTTAAAAATATATGAATCTAAAAATTTCTCAGTTAAATATTTAGATCATATTTTTCTACATTGTGACCAAATATTTTCATTATAACTGCAATAAACTAAACCAGTATTAATTTTGAAGAAAGTGTTTTATATTAAATTAGAGTAATTAAATTTACCCGAGGTGTTAATACAGGGCTCCTTCTTCGTTGATTGCTTGCGCCAGGAGTGCTAAGAACATTTAAACTCGATTTGGTATTGGCAAATAGACGTGTTCTTGTTGAACTAGCTGTAGGTGTTACAGCCTTTGATTGCTTACGTGCTGATAATTGACATTCTTTATCCTATGAAAAAATAATTTGTGATTAAATGGAATATTTACAAAGTATTTTTATAACTTACTATCTTTCTTTCTAAGTGCTTGTTTTTGATTAAGATCTCAATATCTTCACCATAAGCAGTAAAAACTTTGCCAGTTTTTATTTCATATTCTTTAGCAAGAAGCAATAATTCCTCTTCTACTTTAGGAAGTTGAGATGCAATTTTTTTGCGTTCTTTTTCTTCCTGAAGCAACTTTCCACCACGATTATTGTATCTATTGGCATCATTACTTTTACTTTCTAAGGCATTCAACTTTTCCCATAGCGTTTGCCTTTTTGAAAGCAATTCAAAAATTTTCCTGAAATTTGATGTAAGTATTTAATGCATATTTTAATAAATAATGATAAGGAACATTATAATAAAAACTATAAATTACTGGTTATGATAATAGAATTGCTCCAATTGTTCCACCATCATTTCATGTAAGGTTAACAAGTCTTCAGTGTAGAAGTCACTTTGATAAGCTGAAAAGCTTGATCTCTCTTCAGGTGAAGTCATACATCTGTCCCACCACATATTAATTTCTTTTCTGATTTTTTCTATAAAAACCTGCAATAAAGTGAAATCCAATTCATATAAAGTTCAATTGCAAAATAGATGGTATACTAACTTTTATATTATTTTTCTTTTTTTCTTCACATTTCTTTATTTCTTCTCTCAAGGCAGATACGGTTTTACTTCCATGCCCAGGATATTTTAGGAGAAACTCATTACGCACATTAAAATCTTCTTCCAAGCGTTCCCATAAAGCACTAAGGCGTTCACGTAATTCTAAAACCTGATATTTAAATCAAATAACATTAATAATACAAAAAAATTGTTATAGAGTAAGAAATATAGAAATATATCAGCTTCTTCTAAATTCATATGTTTGCAAATTTAGACAAAATTAAAGTAACTGTTGACATTAGACATTTACATGTTGCACTAATGTATTTTCATACTCACAATATTTTTAGATCTTTCAAGCTTGTTTACATAATCAGCATGTGCATTACGAACACGCATCATAACAGCATCTGTAACTTTCATTTCGGAGTCACTCAGAAGAACAGCTTCAAAATCTAGTGATGGCTTTATTTCGAGCTCATCTATAAAAACAATTGTCCCTAGTTAGTATCATGAAATATTACTATGTTTTTAAATTATTTACCAAATATCCTTATTAGATCCTTGCGCATCTTCTCTAACTCTGTTTGCCTCAAAGATTTTTCCTGTTCCAAGTCGAACAAGTACTTTTGGAAAACTTCAATATCGTGACCAGAAGGCAATGTTGGACTTGTTGATAGTCCTTTCTGTTTGAATCCTAAATCTTTGCATAAACTCATTTCTTTGCCCAACAAGTCGTTAATGACAGATTTCCTCTCATTGTAAATCTTATTATAACTGAAAAATATTATTCCAGTAACGAAATTGTTCATTATAAATAAAATCAAACTACTTACTCATATAATTTTTGTTTGAGAATTTCAATAGCTTCAAATAGCACTAAATCTTGTGTGCATTCTTCTGGCAAAGGCTCTGAGAGCAGTTTACATGTTTCTGTCACATCCTTCATTAGTTCTATACGAAAAGAAAAATATATTTGAGAATAGGTTTTTAGTAAAGTATGTCACATTATTAATTTGATGAAAATACTTCTTTGGAAAAGTGAATAAACAAATAATTCATTGATGTTAAGTGTCACTTTTTTGTTTGTCTTATTTAATGGCTCATGTAGGTAAGTGGAAAATAACCAGAAGAATATGTTAGATATAAAATATACATACTTTCCAATTCTTGTATATATACATCTTTAACTGATTCAGCTTCTTCGATAATATCACTGTAGAGATCTGCAACATGATCTATAAATTTTTCACAGTTGTTTCTTATAGTTTCTTCTCTGTAACTGTGCTGCCAGATACCGCATAAATCTTTTAACACCTTGTATGTTCTTTCTTGAACTTGTTCACTGATGCGTTTGCTATAAATGTTTAAATAAATTAACTACCAGTATTTTTCTCATAAAAGTCAGAACTAAAATAACGACATGCATGTTTAACGGTTTTCATATCAGAGTTACTTTAAAGACTTACCACAAATTGTCCATGTTAATCGTATTTATTATTTTTGTACACAGATAAATACTTTCAAATAAAAAATTCTTAAAAATTTAAAACACTTTTAAAGTATGAATATAAAACTATAACATATTTTTATTAGCGACAAGAACTACTTGCTTGTTTGTTTTTGACTCGTAAGTTAAGTTGTGGTTGTGACTTGACTTGTGAGCGAAACACCAATACAAAAATATCAAAATCGTTCTGACTTTTTATACTTGTTTATCTGTGGTTCTGACCTGACCGTCGCATGTGTTATCATCAAGGTGGCTAACATGAATACGGTGTATTCTAATATTGTCTAGGGTGGCTAACCTGAGTAGTGAACTTGTATTTATTTCGTCTGTTTTCAAAATTGACAATTAAGATAACATAACAGTAGGAGCAATGTGCAAGTTACTAAGCAGATAATTATTTTCTTTATCAATGTTTATTGTTTAAACGATTCAACTCTTAAAATGTTTCAACAAATATCATATATTGTATTAGGTTTAACATTGCTCATTTTTTCGTGTGAATCAAAGTACACCTATTCTATAAAATATGCAGATTTACCAATTGATCATTTCTCTTTTACAGTAAATGATACTTTTAAGTTAAGGTATGTATGACACACAAACTATTTTGCCAATAACGATCAAAAATTATAACTTATCTCAATTCATATATATCTCAAACAAATCTCAATATTACTTTCCAGGCTTTGGAAGGAACAAACTTATCCCTTTAACATTGTCGACTATTCATCATTTTCTTTTACTTTATTTACTTTACTTTTTTTACATTTACTTTATTTTTTTTAGATATTTAATTAATGATACATTTTGGGATTCAGAAAAAGGACCAATAATATTTTACACAGGCAATGAGGGTGATATTGAACTATTTGCACAAAATACAGGATTTATATGGGAATTGGCACCCCAAGTTAAAGGATTAATAGTATTTGCTGAACACAGGTGTCTATTTGATTTAACTTCTTTTTACTAAATAATATGTGATATCTTCATTAAACAAACTTTTTCTATAAACGATAATGATTTTTTTATACATATTTTTCTATTTTGTTGTATTTAGCTTTTATTTATTATAATACTTAGTTATTAAATTTTTGTCTTTGAAATAATTTCTCTAATAAAACATTAATGCTCTATTATGTAGATATTATGGAGAGTCATTACCATTTGGAAATGCGTCATATACCAACTTATCTAAGTTAGGTTATTTAACATCATCTCAAGCTTTAGCTGATTTTGCAAAACTTTTACAAGAAATAAATAGACCTAAAAAATATCATAGCTCTAGAGATACAACTATTCAAGGTAATCCAGTAATTGCAATTGGTGGTTCATATGGAGGCATGTTAGCGGCATGGTAAGGATTAATATGCTGATAAAATTGATTATTTAATTAACTAGATGAATAATATGAAACATTATGAAAATATTGACTGTTGAATTACAATGATTATTTTATTACTAGGTTTCGAATGAAATATCCACATTTAGTGGTTGGAGCCATTGCAAGTTCAGCACCAGTTTTACAGTTTTCAGGAATTACACCATGTGAAGTTTTCAGTCGAATTGTTACTTCTGATTTCAAAACAGCATACAATGCAAATTGTTCTTCTAATATAAAAAAATCTTGGGCGGTTATGAAAAATTTGTCTTCAACTGCAGAGGGTTTAAAAAACCTGACAAAAATCTGGAATTTATGTAGTCCGTTGAAAAATTATAAAGATTTGGAAGATTATTTAGTTGATACTTATGGTAACTTGGCAATGGCAAACTATCCTTATGAGGCCAACTTTTTAGCTCCAATGCCAGCATATCCAGTACGTGAAGTTTGTGCTCGACTTAATGAAACATATGATGCAGAACACATTGTTGAGGTATGTAGTATATAAATCTCATAACTTTGATTTTGATTTCAGTATTAAATATCAATTTATAATCTGTAAATTTAATAATACTTTCACAGTTAAGAGAAACATAAAATTTATGGTTAATTTCAAATTTCAAATATTCTGTACTTTTATATTATTGTCTTCAGAAACTTCAAGCAGCCTTGACCATTTATACAAACTACACAGGAAAAGTTAAATGTTTGGATATAGATGTTCATGCCACGCCAGAACTAGGAGATGAAGGATGGCATTTTCAAGTAAAACATGTCTTGATAATTTAAATTTGTAAAAATAAATTATTTGTTAACAAATAATGTCTTCAATAGAGTTGTACTGAAATGGTGATGCCAATGTGCAGCAATGGCGTAGATGATATGTTTCCAAATATAAAATGGAATCTTAAAGAGTTTTCTGATGATTGTTATAAGAAATTTGGAGTAAGACCACAAGAATTTGCAGCTGCTCTAAATTATGGAGGATCTAACTTGGGGTAATAAGCATCATAAATCTGTATTAATTTTTTCATTTTAGCAAGCTTGTGAATTATATAATAGTCTGTAGTAATTTTATAAAATGTGTTTAATAATTAGTTCATTTTGAGCATGCTAAAATTTTATAGAATAATGATTCTTTTATACTGTGATTATTAATGTTCACCATTCCTCAGAGCTGCTAGTAACATAATATTTTCTAATGGTTTATTGGATCCTTGGAGTGGTGGAGGAGTTTTGAGAAGTATTGGAGACACATTGATAGCAGTGATTATCCCTGAGGGAGCTCATCATCTTGATCTTAGAGCTGCAAGTGAATCAGATCCTAGCTCTGTTGTGCAAGCGCGTTCATTTCATACAAAAACTATACAACGCTGGCTCAAAAATTACTGGTCTAAACATGGATCCAAGTATCGCCATTCAATGCTTTAATGTATATAAATAAGTTTGATTGTTAATAATATATGACCTTAGAAATCAAAATATGATCAAGTTTTTAAAGTTATGGATACTAATAATACTTCAATACTCAATTATATGTAAAATGGTTGTGAACAAAATAATGTTTATAACTATATTTTTTTATATTTAATATATATAAAGCAAAATTTGCATAATGATTTTACAAATAAAATATATATATGAGAACCAATTTTTGTAAATGAAAATGAGTTATCAATGTACTGAGCAAGTTTAGATCCAAACTTTCATTTGATTTAAATTGAAACAAAAGTTAAAACATATATATTTTTTTTAAATTAATATTAGAATTTATGAATAAATTATTTATATAAATTTGATGCAGATGTGAAAAATCACAAAAAATGTCTGGAAAAACTACAGAGCATCAAAATTCACCTAAGTCGTCATGGCTTTTACCATCAAGGAAATTGTTGGAACAATCAAAAGCTTGGTAAATAAATTATTTGAATCTTCAAATTTGTATGAAACATCGGATTGAAATATTCATAAAATCATTCCCTCTTATATTGAAAATGGTTTATTTAGTTAAATGCTTTCTTTGTCTATATAATTTATGACATAAAAAATATTTTGTCCAACAGGGTTTTTACTGGTTTTGCTTATGGAACTGCAGTAGCACTAGGTGTTCTTTATTTTACAGAATTCAAAACTGTTTTAAAATATCTTCCATATTACAATTTGGGGTATGCAACAGAAATACAACCTGCCCCCAAACCACCAAGCAAACAAGAACAAGAAGAACAAGTAAATTCCGAAAACACTCCCGAAGATAGGAGTAATGAAAATGATAATAGCAGCAATGGTAACGAAAATACCAGTGTGAAAAATACAAGTTACTCAAAGAAATATCACAAGAATATTCATTAACGGTACTTCGATAATTTAAAAAAGTAGAAGATGTTACCATCAGTTCCATTAAATTTTAGTAATACGTGTTTCTTTAACTTGTGAATATTTTTTAACTGTTGCGATCTAATTATTGTATTAATTTTTGTATAATTAACGTCCCAATATATAAGTATTGCCAGAAGCTGCTGCATCAGTAAGGTTTTTATTCAGCACGTGGTAATACTAAAATAATTTTTGACAGCTGTAATTTTTAATCCCTTATTGAAACAATAGCGCAAAGCTAAATTCTGCGCTTAAAATTATTTATTGAAACCGAGGAGCATTGATTTAAGTAAGCAAAATGAGTATTTTGAGAAAACTCGGGAGTAAACACATTGAGCAAGCAAAACAGTGGTGAGTGATACTAGTTATTGAAAATTCATCTTACATAATAGCAAGTTCAATTATTTTTCTTTAAATTTTGTCAATACAGGGTAGGAACGTCTGCTGGTTTTGGTCTAGCTGGTGCATATGCCCTTTGCTACTTCACTGATTGGAAATTAGTTTTACAATACTTGCCCTACTACAATGGCAAATATAAGGATCAATAAATGTTTAAAGCTGTAGAAAAACTTGAGTAATAAATTTCGATATATAGTATCTATTTATTTATTTATTTATATATACATTTATTCACTTTTAGATTTTTTCTCCATTTCAAATACATAATTAGCAAATGCTTCATTTCTGTCTCCTCTGCTCCGTTGTAGCTTAGGGGATATAAATGATCTATAGCCTATAAAACTCCCAGTGATTGCCACCATGCCTCCGAATAATAGAAAATAGTTCATTTTGGTGTATCGTCTAATTTCTGGAATAATAAAATAATCAAGCATTTTTAAAATTATTTTTAAATATTTGAAAATACCTCAGTATTTCGTTCAATTTTTATTCCAAAATGTTGTTCTAGAAGTGGTTTCCAGATGTAAACACCGCCAAATACACCTAATGTTGTTACCAAGAAAACTGCTGGAAAAGTAAAATTTCTTGGCTTTCTAATTCTCATTATTAATGTAAATAAAATAGCGCGAGTGAAGACACTATACCTTCATGTAGAAAATTTGATTATATAGCCGAGGTTAAGTGCGTATGTTAGATTTTTATACATTTATTAAACAATTTCAGTAGATAAATACTTTATATGCAAGTTTTTTAAATTGTGCAGTTTTAATTAGTTTATTACATTGCCTAGGATTTTAGCAAGTTTTTCGTATTTTGATCTTTACATAATATAATCCTAACCTCAAAGAATGATATGAACTTAATACCAACATTGTTTGTTAATGTTAAAAGACAGCGGGAAATTCGGAACATTTTCTCGTTGTTCTTATTTTCCAAACATCATAAATTAAATAAAAATAAAGTTTTTGCATTGTCAGATTATAAGATCAAATCAGATAAAACTCATTTCGGGGAATTTTATTCATCTCTTGTGATTCTGACGAGTATTGTATGTTTCAAGTTTATATTTGTGTTATTTAAATACCTATTTGCATTATGAGAATTTCTCAAGAAATGCGTAAAGTTGTCTTTGACGACAGAGAAATTGAATTACATCTCAGAAAATATGAAGACACTGGATTGAATTTAGATTATTTTCAATTTTTGGATAAATCTAAAGCGGATGACCTGTTTCGTGATTTGGAGGAAAATGTCGTTTACTACAGCGATGAATATTCGAGAGTGCGGTATCAATGCTATGTTAAATAAAGAAAATATTTATTTATAATTTTGTTCTTTAAATTCATAAAACAAGTCTTTCGATTTTGTATGTATTTCATGAACTGGTTGATAACATGGCAAAAAGAAATGTCTTTATTTCATTTGCTTTGACTTTTTAAGTTAAAAACTTAAATATTATCAAACTATATATTAAATATTTTTTGTCAGTATTTTTGGAAAATGGCATTCAATACCTAGACAACAAGTAGCTTATGGCGATGATGGTGTATCATACACATTTTCTGGAAACACGATCAAAGCCCTACCATGGATTGAAGCTATTTTGGATATTCGAAACAAATTAAAAACATTAACAGGATTTGAATTCAATTTAGCCCTTGTGAATAGGTATTTTCTAATAGTATTATTTCATTAAATCCTGATGATATTAACCATTAAACAGCCCTCACCTTTTTTCTATTTCAATTGCACAAATATTTAGTATGCTAATCAACTTGTGCATATATAATAAATTTTGTCACATTTATTGTATTATTCTGTTAACAATAAGTTGCATTTTGATAACATTATTTACTTATTCATATTGATATTATTAGATACCGAAATGGCCAAGATCATATTGGTGAACATAGAGATAATGAGAAGGAATTGGATGCTAATGCTCCTATAGCATCTTTATCACTAGGTGCTGAGCGTGTATTTAAATTGAGGCATAAAGATTGTCGCAAAAAAGAAACTAACTGTATTATCAAACCAGGTGAATCAAACATTTATTTTTATCATGCAAGATCATTATTGTTATAAGTAACAGTCATGGATGCAATGTGATTTTATACTTTCTTTCAGTTAATGTTGTTTTAGAACATGGTAGTTTATTATTAATGAACCCACCCACTAATGAAATTTGGTATCATTCACTGCCCCCCAGAAAGTCTATACAAACTCCAAGAATTAATATAACATTTAGGAAAATGTGTATGATGTGAATGAATGGAAAGATGTATATAAAATTATTTAGTTTTTGTTAAATGAAATGTATAAAAATTTTTTGGCAAATGTCATTGAAACAAAAAATATGTTTATAAAATAATCAGAGTTATATTTTTTGTTAAATAATTAAGGCATAAATTAATATTCATAATGACTAATGAAGGAACAACTAATGGAAGCAGATCATAGTAGCTTCTAAAATAGGCCTTCTTTTCCTTGCAAAATTAATATCAGACCATATGTCAGAAAAATGATCTTGAATTTGAAGAAAAAGCTTGCTAACTTTTCTTAACCATGTATTTCAACATGCTCCTTATATTTCATATACATAGTTTTACTAAAAACTCAGTAAAGAATAATAGAAAATATTATACTTTGTGCTTTGTATTGCAAAATGTCACCATATAACAATTGTGAGGTTTCTAACGCATTTGATGCTGTGCAACAATCATATTACTGTTTAAAAGAAGTTGATATATTAAAATAAAATTAAACAGAAAATAATAACATGTAATAATAAACTATCATGTTACTTTCTCATGATTATTCATCAAGAAGAAATTTGAGAAAATGTTTATATTAACAAACATGGGTGCATGCACCCATACCATGATGGTATACCAATGGACTTAAAAATAATATAACCTTCTTCAAATATTTAATTATGAAAGTATTTAAAATGAATCTAGAATATACAGAATTTTTTTACGTTTTATATCATCATTTATAAGTATTGGAAGTTTAAGAGCACACATGAAAATAATAATTTTACATGGTTTCTTTGTAATAAAATTGATGATTGATTATTAGCATTGATATTTTAATTGTCTAGGGTTATTAGCATCGATAACAGTATTAACATTGAATTAAAGTATGAATATATCATATTTTAATATTGCCTGCGAATAATAATAATAATATTAGGAGCTAGGAACATGAGTCATACATGGATAACAGTTGAATATGAATATTGAATCCCCACCATAGATATAAAAGCTTCTCTTTCGCTCTTATTAAACTATATAGTGCTCTTTCACAATCAAGTTGGCCAACAGCATGAAAGAATATTAATAGAAGATCTAAGCCGCCTAAACTGTCACTTGTTAATAAAGCCTTGGAACTTGGAACTGATTTATCTTTGTTGGCTAAACGCACTTCATTTATTTCGCATCGAAGAACGAGCATCGAAAAAAGTTGATATAGCATAAATTTGCCCTACATTCGGAGCCGCGTTTGTTTATTGCAATAATAAACTCAGTTGCAAAACTATATTCGCTTGTTCGAGTTTTATGCGTTTTAACTACCTTGACCTCGAAACCAGTTAAAAAAAATCTGTTGAAAAAGACGAAGACGGACAATGCCTGCGAATTTCGGACCCGCAAACGAAAGGCTCAATGGTAAGTACTTAATTAGCATATCACATCAATAAGTTATTTGAATTCATTTACGACTTTATTGCTTTGAACTTAAATTATCATTGTAATACATAATTTCATTAAACTGTATTTAGAGCCCTGCTTGGAAACTGGTGATGAACTAGTTACCTGTCCATATGACCCCAGTCATCGCCTACGTCCAACTCGTTATCATTTGCATCTCAAGAAATGTGCAGTGCAGCACCCTGAAAAGCAATATCATATTTGCAATTTAAATTTTACGCATCATGTTCCTCCTGAAAAAATAAAGGTAGGTAAATTGTTAAGTTTATTTTATTATTTTTCATAAATTTATAAAATGTGCTTTTTTTTGCCTAATGTATGTTTTATGAAACACGGCATGAACCTTTGTTTTCCAAGAATTACTTATCATTAATACATTCTAGGAGCATATGAGAAGCTGTCCTGATAGACATAAGGTTGATTCTTTTATCTACACAACTGAGAATGTACGAAGACAGGTTTCTGCACCTGTGGTAGTTGAAGAACCTGCAGAAAGCTGGGATGATGTAAGTATTGTGTGCACATTCAATAATTGGAATTATTTTTTATAATCTTTGTATAGGAAATTATATGTATATTTTTATAATCTTTCTATATAGGAAGACTGTCCTACTTATGATCCTATGAAGGCTAATGAGAACAATCCTGTTCTTCTTTGCCTCAAAGGTGCATCAAGATCTGAAAGGAAAAATTTTCAAACCCAGCAGAGAATTAGAAACAGTCGTCTTCTGAATGGGGATCCCCCATTGTAAGGCTAGTTGCTGTTACTATCTATTAACTCCTTATCTATATATTAACCATTACCAAAGTTTTACCTAAATTTATTTTTAATAAGTTTTCAGTATGAATTCTTTTTAAATACTTTCAAAATTGAAAAAGTGTTGTTTATTAAAAGCTAACAAAGTATTATAGCTATTATGTATTAAATTTATCAAGTGTTAATTTGATATAATAAAACAAGTTATTTTAACAAAGTTTTATTTATTTTTTTGCCATTGTTCTATCCATGATTGAATTCGTTGAACATTAGATTTCAGATCTTCCTGCGAGTTCCCAAAAATTTCATGGACTATCTCTGGTTCATAGGATGATTTAGCTTCTTCAAGAAGTGTTTGAAATATTTCACATTGCATATTATCTTCTAGTTTTTTATCATTATATCCTCTAAAAAAAAAGCAGATTACTACATATTTAAGTTATAAAACTATTAATAAATTACCTTGCTTTCAGTCGATCATACAAAGTAGTTGTATCAGCTCTAACAACGAATACTATGTCAAACCAACGCTCTGGGAAAAAATCACATCCGTGGTAGTCAACAACGCAACCTCCATCTTTTACAATTTCTTCAAGTAAATCTAGTAACTAAATAAATTTTGCAAAAAAATAAATTAGAAAGTCATTATAGCAACTAATATTAACCTTGTCTTCATTAAGCACGGGACATTGGTATTCTTCATCGTACTCTTCAATACAATTTTCATCAAGGGCCATTTTCGATACATCAATCCAACGTAAATCGCATGTTTCAGAAAGTGATTTGCACAAAGTTGATTTACCTACCCCTGGCGTACCTAGGAAAATAAAATGTTAATTTGCATTTCTGATGCTATTGTATTATCTGTACCTGTCACTAAAATATTAGGTTTGGCTCTATTCGACATGACAAGAGATTATATTACTTATTATTCAAATACGGCTTTTATTATAACCTTAAAAAGGGCTTTGATTTGATTGACCATGTGCTTAAGGGCAAATGTCATTTTATGCAGATAATTTTGTAAACAAATTTCTACACAGTGACAGTTAGTGTTCTGTATTGTGGCAACACTGAATTTTAAGTTCATGCTTTCTGATATCAAATCAGAATTTTGCGGGGTGACGAGAAAATGTTATAGACTTATTATAAATTTGATTTTAATTTGTAATTAAAATATTATTTATAAATTAATCAGTCATGGAAAAAATTAATGATAAATGTGAAGTGTTTAATTGGCAAGAGTATTTAGATTTATGTAAAGCTTCTGATGTTCCTCATACATTATTTAAACATGTAAGTTGAACAGAAATCATTTTATTTTATTTTGCTTCATATTATTAACTTCTAACAACTGTTTTACAAATATTACTGAAGAATTTATATTATATATTACAACTAAGCAAAATTATGTTTTTTTTATAAATATTCCATTATGGAGTAAATTAAATAATAATAAAAATCCACTAAATTCCTATGTTTTATGTTAATTTGTTAATGATTTATTGCTGTTGTTACAATTTAGAGTTTAAACAAAAATATAATTATAACCAAGCTGCAACTGATTCTGATAAGGCTATCAAAACAACATATTACTACCCTTATCGTAACAGAAGAATTAATTAAAGGAAACAAAAACCCCACTACTATATAAAATGTTTGAAATAGAAAAATGCGTTCTAATACATAAAACCCAGAACGACAAAATCAATCCATGCCAATATTGAAACAAATCTGGGATACTCTTGACCATGAAACTAGACAGATGCAAAATGATTTATCTTAAAGTCTCTAAAACCAAAAAAGAATAAGCGAGTCTGCTGAGAACTGCAAGCTATCCATATAACAAGTTTCAAATAAAATTAAATCAATAATAGATATTGAACCCTAAAACTAAATTAATTTTATTGTTATATAGAAAAAGATAGGTGTTATTGTTATTCTCTTCATGTCTGAATGCCTATTGTATTTATATGTTTGTTTATAGTCATTGTCAAATAGATTAGACAATGAATTATTATGAATATTTTGTCAAATATTTACCATGATCTCTTATACCAGATAATGAGATACACTATTTATGAACATATATTTTAATAAATGAAATTAAAAAATAATGAATTAATTGATGTTATTACTTTTTATAGGTTGAGCAGAGCTTGGATAGGGGCTTCAGCTGTGGAATGGCTGTTGAAGTTCCTTTCAAATCCAAGGAAATTACAACCTATTGGCCTGCTGTTATAACTAAAATTTGCGGTCCTTTGATTACGTAAATATTTATAATATAAATTACAAATTATTGTAACATAAGCATACTGTAGATAGTACTATTACTGAATTTTCTTGTTTAACCGTCCATACTAATATGATAGAGAGAGCATAAAAATCTAATTTACTTACATATAGGACAAATATTCATTTATTTACTTAGGTCAACTATTCATGTAATAAAATTTTGTTTCTAGTTTAAAATATATCGGTTCAGACTCAAAGGATAAAAACAGTGAAATATGGTCGGATATCAATTCTCTATGTCACTTTGGATACTCAGCTTCACAAGGAATTGAATTAAAACCACCACCATGCTTAAGTTTACCATCCACAGTTTTGGAAGATCCAAATAGTATTGAAACTATAATGAAAGATATTCCAATTGTACCAAAGCAAGTGCTTGATGAAGGTGGAAAAACTGTTATTGACAGAATTTCTAGTGGCATGATTGTTGGTATTCGAGATGTACTCGATCCATACTTAATAAAGAAAGCTGAGGTAAAAATATACTTGTGTCAACTAGATGATTACTTTTTTTTTAACTACTGTAGAAAAATTAATTGTACATGACGGAAGTAATACAGACAAACATACAAATATTTTTTGTAACTAAAATAAATTTTCTTAAACTCTATTTATTAAACATCATTGCTTTGATATAATAAATGATTTCTATGTTTAAATATTGTTATTTTGAACATACTTTACCAAATAATACAAGATTATTTAAGATTCTCTTTATAATTTTTAATATTGTGTTTAATACATTAAAATTTAGGCAATTAAACTACAGTATCATTAAAATACTGTTTCAGCTTATGCAAGATTATGCAGCTAGATATAGGTCAAATATATATTTTTTTTATAGATTGTACTGCATGTAGGCGGAAGACTCTTTCTAAAAATGCTGAATGACCATTTGAGTACTATTTGGCTGTTCTACACTGACTACAGAATTGTTGAAGCTGAAGATTGTACTGATTCTTTGCGCTTTCCAAGTGATTTAATAATGGTATGTTATCTAAGACCTGGCTATTTTTTTAATTATAGAAATATTTTTACTAGCTTCATTAACATTCTATTTGAAATCTTCCCTAAATTTTGATTGAGCTCTAAAAATATATTATTTTGGCATTAAAAGACATTAAAAGGTCTTTGAATTTCTAATACTTTTAGACTACTTAAACATCAAGTAATTATTTCAAGAGATACATGTTGTCTGTTGAATAATGATGCCAAGGGATTTTGAATGGTAAATAATAATATCTTTGAAGAGTACTTCTGGGTGTATTGCATCTTTTAGAATGCAGTTTGCATATATAACTCTTTAAAGATTTTACTATACGTTTAAAATAACAAATAAACAATTAATTTTGAACTGCATGATACTGCATGTATGCTCGACAAGTCTTCGGAATTTATTACAAATACACTAAATTATACCATGTAAAAAAATATATTTCTTAGTGCTGTATGTAAAGATTTAAAAGGAATATTATTTCTGTTGCATTATTTATTATCCCCTTACAGCTATTCTATTTTATAAATTAACAGAAGTGATGTTTTGATATTCATATGTAATTTCAATTTATTCATATACATTAAATTTCAATAGATTATTGAGTATGCATGTGATTGAACTATGTTTTATAAAATTTTAATTTCAGAAACATCCAAAAGTGGAGCAACATTCTTTTGAATTAGGAATGCAATTGGAAATGTTGAACCCAAAAACTCGATCTACTTTTCATAATGGAATAGTTTCTAAAATTATAGATAAATATTATTTTATAGTATCACTTGTTGATAAAAATGGTGAATATGAAAGAAACAATACAGTTCATAATTCTTGGCTTTGCAGTATAGAGCACCCTTATATATTTCCTATTGGTAAGTAAGAAATTCTTATAAATATTAAAATTTTTTAACTGCTAGCATATATTTTCCTTACAATGTCCAACCCAAAAGCGTATAAATGCAATATGTAGAAAATTATTTAACTAATCCAGGATTTACAACTCAAATATATACATTTATTTAATATCACTGCTAAATTTTTAAATTAATTCATTTATATCAACTCACAGGCTGGTGTTCAAAACATGACTTGCAAATATTGCAGTCCAATGATATAGATAGCGAGAGGTGTACATACAAGGAAATGTTTTCAGCAAAATCTAATGCAGAAACTCTTGGATTTGAAGTTGGAATGAAATTAGAAGCAGTAAGTTACAAAATATGAGAAAATAATTAAACATTTCTAGGATAATCTTTCTAAAATTTATTCGCTAGGTTCATCCACAAAATGCAGACCTTATATGCGCAGCTACAATAAAATCAGTTCACGAACACTTGCTATGTATTGCATTTGATCACGAAGAACATGACAATTTATCAAAATTATACTATGTGCATTGCAATAGTAATGATATATTTCCTATTTATTGGTGTGGAACTAATAACTATGAACTTATTAATCCTTCCAATAAATCTGATTGCAATATCACACCGTCAAGGTAATTTATTAATATAGCAAGTTGTTATTTTTGATAACACAGAAATTCAAATATCTAAATTCATATCATCCTAATGAATGATATAATAATTCAGCAGACATGGTAAAAGTCTTAAATTGTTTGGTTATATTATCTAATCATCATTTATTTTTTTAAATAATTATAAGTACTTGATAATAAATTAGGCTAATTTTCTTGATCAGTTTTATAGGATTCATTATCTATAATTTTTTTTTCCAGTGATGAGGATTTAGGTCCAATAATTTATTTTAACTATAAGTGCAAAACAGGACCTATGCATTCGCACAAAAAAATATCTCAACTACCTAAATCTGTTGGTCCCGGGGAAGTCTCACAAGTTTTGAAAAAGGTATAATGATGTAATATAATTCAATGATATTTACTTATATTAAAAATATTAATTGTACAGTAATAAAATATTAGTTTTAATTCATTAATGTATGTACTGTATTATATATTTAAATTGAATAATTAATATTAATTTATATGAAATAGGTATTGAATCTTATTGTGTCAGAAGCATATCAACCTTTGAGAATATTAAGAATTTTAGAATGTGAAGATGAGGTACCACCTGGCCGAACATTAGTGGAATTGAAAGCTAGGTAACAATAGATTTTATATTATATATATATATATATATATATATATATATATATATATATATATTAATTGTTTAATATGAACAAAACAGCACTCAGATTTGTTTAACACAACTTTATTTTATGATTACAGACGTTTCGAGACCATGGTGTGTCTCATCTTCAGTGTAATTTCAAAAACAGTTACTTATATACTACACATTCTTTAATAATTTATTTAAATTTCATTTAATTTTTGGTATACAAAAAACACCAACTATTCCTTGCAATGCTTTGATGCAATGCTTTGATTTGATGCTCTGAGTGCTGTTTTGTTCATATTAAACAATTAATATTCGTTCCACTCATATCATAAAATTCTATATATATATATATATATATATATATATATATATAATGTAATATATATTTGAAAATTAAGAACCAAATAAAAAGTTCTATTTATTATAATATATCAATTGAATGCATAATTATAATTACATGATTTATTTTTTATTTCAGCAATTATAACAGCAATAAAGAAAAAGTAACATATAGAGCTAATGTAGATGTAGTAACTAAAATCGAAGATGTAGCAGAATATTGTAGAGAAGTATGTACAGCTATACAGGCGTGTCCTTATCTATTTGGTCCTCTGTATATAGGCGATAACTGTCCAGAAAATTGTGCTGGAGATAAAAATGGAAATGGTAATCTTTAATAAATAGTTGATTCTACCTTTTACATCAAACATATGAGTTCAATTTTATTGCTATTTTAAATCCTAAATAAATATTTGTTTAATGTAATTAGAAAATTATTAGTTACATTATCATATTTGTAGTTTAACATAATATTTGTTAATTCAGGAAATGACAAACATAAACCAGTAAAGCACAAACGACGAAAACGGAAAGGTTTACATTTCAAAACTATACAAGCACTTGCAGCACGTCGAGCTGCAAATCAATTGGATCACAACAATGAATCAGGTAAAAATATAAAAATCTTTATTTAATTTAAAAAAAAAGTGTGCGCATAAGGTTCACAGGTGATTGCTACTGTACAAGATGGCATTTAAGTAAAAATAAATACACATACAATTTTAAATAATGTTCATTAGTAATGTGGTAACACTCGTGATGCACACATTTATTAGTGTTAACCATTACATGCATGTATATAATGATAAATTATAAATTATATATTTATAATAGCATTAAAAATATGTATAATATTTAGAAACAATAATGTAATTAAAGCCATACTTCAAATATGACATGATCGGTTTGTGATTGTAATTAGCATTTAGAAATGAACCTTAGAGAAATGAAGTAATTATTGATAAATAAATTCTATAATATTGAAACAACTCCTAATCAAATATTGTTTTCACTCATCATACAATTGTGTTTGAAGAACTTCATGTAATTAAAATTAACATACATTCATTGACTGCTTCTATTTTTTTACTTTTTCCCTGGCGATATAATCTCATTCTTTGAACAACTGTAATATCTGTCTTGCCTAAAAAATATTTTCCATTTCAATAAGTTCAATGATTTATAGAAACTTTGAATAATATAGAAATAATTTCTAATCAATAAACTTACGTTTAGTACACGGCACAAATGTTTAATTTATTTTAAGCATTTTTCATTGAATCAAGATTTGTACTATGATGTAACTCTAAATGTTTAATTATCTATGCCGATTTACTTGTTGATATCGGTACGCATACAACTTTGATGCCGGTACGCATACAACGACAGATCTCACAGATCTCACAGATGCATTCACATGCACGACGACTAATCACAACCGACCCATATAGAAACAATCTCATCGAAAGTGAATGACGAACAGTTCGGGCGTAACGGACTTCCGTTGCATTTGTACGGATTTACACCCTAGTCGCGCCTAAAGACATAAATTTAAACTTATTTAAATATCTTATTTATGAATTGAATATGTATTGCAGACAGTGATAGTGTGCATACATCAGAACCGACATCTCGTCCTAATACGCCAACTAGTACAGCTAGTGCGGAAAACGAAAATGGATCACCAGATACAAAAAATTCTAATACTGATTTGACACCGGATAATTCACAGAAAAATGAGTTAGAAGTGAAACTTGCGGGTATGTAAAATGCTTTATAAATTAAAATTTATAATATCAAATTTTACAGGTAATCTGTTCTTACAGGTAAAAAAGGTCGTAAACGGAAACATAATTCTCATAGTCCTCCTCCTCAAGTATATGAAATGAAAACTCGAGGAGCTAAACTTCCCAATTTTAAACTGCAGATGAAGCAAGCACACTGGGATAAAAAGGATGTTGAATCAATTTATAAAATATCTTATAGGTAAGACATTTTTTCAGAAGTCGTAATAATTTTATATATCTATATACGTGGTGTGTTCAAAAAGTACCCGGAATTACTAATAATTAAATTTCGCGGGTCTGGAGTGTCTGATTGTCAAAATTTTTTTTTTATTGTGTTGGTATACATGCCCCTAAAGTATGATGAAATTTTCAGCTATATTCACTGTTTACTTTGTCTGTGGTAGTCGCTAAGGTTCGACCGTGTTTTTCTGAGCTCGGCGATTTTTACAATGGAAGAATTGAAAAGTCAAAGAATTTGTATTAAATTTTGCGTAAAAAATGAAATAAAGTGTTGCAAAGTGCAAAAATTCACCAGATATGGCTCCGTGTGACTTTTTCCTATTCCCAAAGTTGAAGAGACCCATGAAAGGACGGCGGTTTTCCTCGATTGAAGAAAATCGCCGAGAGTGCTCAAGGACATATCAAAAAGTGAATATCAAGGGTGCTTCGAAAATTGGAAAAAACGCTGGCATAAGTGTATTATATCTGGGGGGGACTACTTTGAAGGGGACCACATTAATGTAGACGAATAAATAAATATTTTTTTGAAAAAACGAAATTTACGAAAACTTTGTGAACAGACCTCGTATATATATATATATATATATATATATTATATTTTTTGATGAGTTATTTTGATTCGGACAGTAACACCAAGTAAAAAAAACGAACGCAGTTGTAAAAAAGCTTTATTTAATCATACATTTCGGTCTTCGTCGAGACCGTCATTCAGTGGAACAACTAAAAGATTTTATAACTGATGCAGAGAGAAAATAATATAAAGTTATAGAACTTATATATAAATAGTTGCAAAAAATTAGTTACACAAAAATACACTGCACTATTACACAGTATTAAACCAATTTAAAACTATATGACTTTTGACAATTTTTTTGGTAGTGTGTACAGAGATATTATGCATCCTTTCTTAAATCTTCTTTTAAATAAGTTTCTTTCGAAATGTAGGATTGTGGGATTGAAAAAATCGATGTTATGTTTGAGGTCGTTAATGTGTTCTGTGAGCATTGTTTTATATTGGTTTTTGTTTTTGGAATTGTTTTTATGTTGTGATATTCTTTTGTGAAAGTGTTGACTGGTTTCATCTATGTAAACGCAATTACAATTTGGACAATTTTGCTTATAAACTATATTACTTAGGGTTATATATATATATCTATATATATATATATATATACCGCGGTGATCCGCCATACGAGTTTAATTCGTTCCGTAATCACGTTCGTTTATTTATTTAATTATTCCCATATAAACGCATTGAAATGCCATTAATTCATTCCTGAACTTTTTTTCGAATAACAAAAATTAATTTACTATTTATCTTTCATGATAATTACTCATCACATTATAATTGAAGTGACTAACTATAAAATAATTTACTATCATAAAACACTCAAAATATTTTAAATTTGGCTTATACGTTGAAGCAACGAATCACTTTTGTGGCGGATCGTATCTCAAATCATTTGTATGTTAGGTTACTATAAGTAAGGGTACTACTGTATATCACATACATATAACTATATATTTATTTAAATGTAAATATATATATATATATATATATATATATATATATATTGTGATAAGGTTTTTCAGCCACAAGTCGAAAAAATAAAAACAGAACATAAATATAAAATCTTTTTTAATACGTTTTGAGCTATTATACTAGATCATCATTTAGCTAAAATAAAAAAGAGTAATAAAATAAAGTAACGAAATAAAATAAAACAGAATTAAAATTATACGTACCAAACCAGTTTAAAATTATTTTATATAATACATATACATATATTTTATCTTAAATTTGATTAGGTCAAATGAACCCAAGAAGAAACCAAGATATGAGTATATAACGGAATCCGACAGCAATACAAGTGGCAATGATGAAATTGAAGGTGATGCAATTTTAAATTCAGAGAAAAATTCCCCCAGGATCAAAGATGAAATAATAGAATTCAGTGGAGATAGCAATGATAAACAAGATTTCAGTAGCATTCAACAAATTAATATAAAATCTGAGGATTATGGTGATAGCAATGATAAACAAGATTTCCGTAGTATTCAACAAAATAATATAAAACCTCAGTATTGTGATGATGAACTATATCAAGTTGTAGAAAAATCAAGGACAAAATTTAATAAATCACCATCACCTCCAGAAGATGATGACGATTTATTACTTTATTCAAATCCATTGCATTGGTCAGTAGATGAACTTTATAATTTTTTACTGGAAACTGATTGCTGTGATCTAGCTGACCAGATTAGAGAAGAATTGATTGATGGGCAAGCATTTATGATGCTGGACTTACCTTTTGTGCAGAAGTTTCTGAACTTACGTTTAGAGCCAGCACTAAAATTATGTGAACATGTAGCTAGAATTAAACTGGCCTTCTTTCTTACCTATGGAAATTAACAAACTTTTTAAGTTTGATTCACCCAGGAAAGAGTGATATGTTAAGTGTGTTTCATGCTAATGTAATGTTACAATCATTGATTAGTGGCAATTAATTGCTTGTGACTAGAAACATGACATAGTGATAGTTAGAAGTATTTATTAATTACATAGTTTATGCAAAAAAATGAATTGTTCTCCAATGCATAATCTCTACTATTGACTATAATATTTTTAAGAATTGTTTATTTTAGGTATAAAATATAATAAGAATATTTCAATAATTTAGGAAACCATTGTAGTATTATTTTGTTGTTCTGTTTCATTTATTCTAATGTGTACTGTAATATATTACTACCAAATATTAAAATTATTATATAAAAATGGATGTGACATTTTTAAATTTGATACTGTTAATGCAAATTGTCAGATGACTATATTCCAAAAGTTATCATTTCATCTAATTTATTGAACTTACTGTGTGCAATATATTTTTATTTGCAAGAATACACATATTATATATATATATATATATGTTTATGTTTATTTTTATATATAGTATGTGTATGTTTAAATGAAATTTGGTTTCGAATTTCGAAATTTATTTAAACATCTGTCTTGTAGAAGTGGCAGAAAAATCAAATTAAATTTGGCGCCTTTTCTTCGTGCGACACATCTTCAAACTTCATGCTCTTTGCTGTATATTATTTCAGTGAAGTTGGCAGCCTTCACACAATGCAGTTAGTTCGTGCCTATGTTTAGCGCGTCAGGGCGTTGTGAAACAGACTTGCTCTTGACGCGACGTGAATAGTTAGTTAAAGTGTGATTTATCGAATGTGTTTTTGTTATAGATGGATTTATTAATTTAACTAGTTCTGTGAATATTTAACATTTGTGTAAAATGTTTCTTTTTATTTCGATTGGTTTATTATAATTAATTTTTATTTTAATGTTGTGCTAGTGAATTAACGTAGTGAATAAATTGTTTTATTGCACAATTTTGTTTACAAATTTTATAGTGTTAATGTTAGTGTAGTGAGGTGACAAAATATGTACTAGTTTTTCACATTGATATTATTCTAAAGGTATTTATGAAATGTTTTTAGAAATAGTTAATAATACGTAGGTGTAAATCGGGAAAAAGAAATTAAAATTCTAAATGACTATATTATTATTATCAGATGTAGTTTGAGTGTATTTATTTTGGTAGATTTACCAGACGGTTATTTTTATCAATATTAAATTCTAGTCTCTAAGTTTAAACTGAGATCATCGCTTATTTTGTGCCACCTGTCATTGGAGACTGGTTACTGGGCGGGGTATTGAAATTTGGGGCCGCTAAGCGCTCTTCAGTACAATGATTAGAAAAACGTTTTGTTTATTAACTAACAATCGCTTGAAATTATTTCATGTGGAAAAATTGAATTTATTCTCATGCAGTAAATTATTTTTTATCCATAAGGGCATATGTCAAGATTTTATTGCATAAGTACTTAATATTTTTTATATTAAATTATTCGTACAGTTTCATAATTATCGAAATCGTAAGACATTCTTTTTTCACTACAAAACACTTCAACAATAAATATAAAATATACAGTACATAAAAATTAATTACAGTAGTCAAGGACTTATATTTTACAGTAAAACATGAAATTCAAAGAGCAACATCTGGAAAATATAATTTCGATGATAGTTCGGAATTCTTTTTCATTTATAACTGTTGTATGTGTTCTTTAACACACTATTAATTTAGATCATTTTTAATAAGTTTAATGTTGGATATCAAAAATATTATAACCTTAAAATTATTGCAATTGTAATGAGAGTATCAGAGCAGAATCAAGGCATTTAACACTATTATCACACACAATTTTTCACACTTTTTTTACATTTACACAATTTTAAATTTATTGACTCTCATGGCTTACACTACAATGAGTCCTCAACTCTCAAAACAAAAACATTGCATAATAATTTTAACTTAAAACTAGCTGTAAGTGGAATTCTGTCTTAAGGCAATTAAGGCATCGTGCCTTAAGGCAAATTGCTGGAACTTCCCGTACCAAAAATTATTATTTTTTTAAAAACAATTAACATTTTTGAAAAAAAATTACTTTGAAAGAATAAGATTTTTGAGAAACTATAAATTGGACAAAAAATAACTTTTCTTTGAAAAAAAAAATTTTTTTTTAAAAAAACATTTTTTTTTTTGAAAAAAATTTTTTTTTTCTGTATTTTGACATATTGTAGAAGATCTGAAATTTTTTTGAAAGCAATCGTACTGCTTTAACTGCATAGGGACAAAATATAAAGCGCGTAAGCGCCGCGTCGCTGTCTAACGCATAAGCATTGGTACGGAACCCATAGAAATGTTAACAAAATGTATACTTATTGTTAAAATCTCTATAAAATATCTGATAATTTGATGTGCATATGTCTAATGATCATTTTTGACCGCCAAATGGCTCATTTTTTTTACTTTTTCCTCCATATCTCCGAAACCGCTAGACCTACCTTCATGAAAATTTTATCGATTCTTCACCTTGTCAATACAAGTGAAATGTTTTTTGAATTATTCAAATCGGACGCTCCGTTCTCTTAAAAACTGAGTTACCGTTTTCGGCACTTTTTGCCCCGTATCTTCGGAACGGCTAGACCTGCCTTCGCCAAAAACTAATCAGCACGTCTCCTTATCAATACGAATCGAATGTTTTTTGAATTATTCAAATCGGTTGATCCGTGTTCCCGAAATCGTCGACGAAAATTTGTATCCGCACATACATACACACACGCACATACATACATACATACATACATACATACATACATACATACATACATACACACACACACACACACACACACACACATACATCCATTTTTTCTAAGGTATGCCAAAATGTTCAGAAACCTTTGAAACGTAAAGATATATAAAAATTTTCATTTTCGATTTTTTTGCGATTACTATAACTTGCCCTACGGGAAGTTAATTATTTCATATTTTCATATTAAAATTATTTCATAAAAATATGAATTGCTTGACTTATCATATATAAAATATATTAATTTTGGAAATGTATGTACTAAATTATCATTTATAAAACATTTTGTACCTAGATATATCATTATGATTTTAATTTTCTGAACAAAAATTCTTCTGTTCCTCAAAAAATTATTCATTTAATTTTTCATATAAGTATTGTTTAGGGATATAATATACAATGTTCTCTTCATTCAGGAACAATGAAACAACATTTTTTGTAAAATCATTAAAAAACAAAATTATATTTGAAAATTTGTCTCACATTAGTCGATTCATTGTTTATATTTATGGGTGTGTATGAAGAAATTTCAGTAATAATTTTTTATAGGCTCCGGCTACTTAGAGCATTTACTCACCTACACGATTTCTTTTTACATTTTATACTATTATACACACACACACACACACACACATATATAAATTGTATATATATACTATTTTTACTGCATCATATACTATCTTCTTACTATCCAATTTTCTTTACAACTTCTTCTTCATTCTTCTTTATCTCCTAATCTTTCTTCTTCTTCATTCTTCTTTTTCTCCTAATTTTTCTTCTTTTTCTAACCTCCAATTCTATTTTATTACAAATTAACAATTCAATTTCTTATTCAATTTTAATCAAATAAACCAAATGGCAATTGTGACTGTGCCTGGACTCGAACCGAGTAGTCCTGGCTTGTGAGTCAGGCATGCTATTGACTGAGTTATTTTCGATTCAGAAAATTACAATCATAAAAAATCCAGGAAAACTTAAACAAATACCTATTTTTTTAATGGTTCTAAAAGATTGTTGGGAAACCCCTTATATGGGATTTCATCGTAATGATTCACTATATTTATTTATATCTGTACTATAAATTTGATTTATATTTACCAACGTTATCGAAATGTTGTGGTAGGTTATGTGTTTTAATCATTATTGATAAGATAATAATTAATCACTTTTTTTCAGATAACAAGACAATGGCGCTTAAAGCGCCTTTATGTTTGGCATTGATAGCTGTTTGCTTTGTACCTTCCCAAGGACTTAGTAAGTTAATTATTTTATTAATTACTATTTAAAATTATTTTGATATTTGATATTAAAATTTATTTCTGTACTAATAGTCCAGTCATTATAGTAAGTTCACCTAGGAATTCGTGATACCCAGCTGTAAGTCTGTAAATACTTGTTTATTGACACCCTAAAAGTTGTCTCAAAACCTACATATGTTGCGTACATCCTATCATATGTAGGGTTTTGGGACAACTTTTAGGTGTCAATATACGAGGTCTGTTCAAAAAGTTTTCGTAATTTTCGTTTTTTCAAAAAAATATTTATTTATTCGTCTACATTAATGTGGTCCCCTTCAAAGTAGTCCCCCCCAGATATAATACACTTATGCCAGCGTTTTTTCCAATTTTCGAAGCACCCTTGATATTCACTTTTTGATATGTCCTTGAGCACTCTCGGCGATTTTCTTCAATCAAGGAAAACCGCCGTCCTTTCATGGGTCTCTTCAACTTTGGGAATAGGAAAAAGTCACACGGAGCCATATCTGGTGAATTTTTGCACTTTGCAACACTTTATTTCATTTTTTACGCAAAATTTAATACAAATTCTTTGACTTTTTCAATTCTTCCATTGTAAAAATCGCCGAGCTCAGAAAAACACGTCGAACCTTAGCGACTACCACAGACAAAGTAAACAGTGAATATAGCTGAAAATTTCATCATACTTTAGGGGCATGTATACCAACACAATAAAAAAAAAATTTTGACAATCAGACACTCCAGACCCGCGAAATTTAATTATTAGTAATTCCGGGTACTTTTTGAACAGACCATGTACAAGCATTTATATGGGTATAAATGGGTATCTTACAGCTGGGTATCTCGAATTCCCAGATTCTTGCCTAATTTAAGTTGAAATGACTGGACTATAACGAATTACAGATTTTCACTTGGCAAAGATAAACGTTTTATACAGACCAGTATTATGATTTTTTATTCGGTTTCTCAACATTTGTATGATTGACTTATATCTGAAATAAAACCTTTCCCATTTATGCTATGGTGCTCTCAGTTCATTGTTATTTTTGATAATGGAATGCTCGACTCCTTATCTTATTTTTCCAATTTTGTTTGTGTATATATCACATTCATTTCATGGTTGAATGACTAAATTGATCTTTCATTTTCACAGTACAATCGCCACCTCGAATAGTAAAACAACCTCCTACAGATGAATTGTTGTTCCAAGTTGCACAACAACAGAACGAAAACGATAAACCTTTTATAATAGAATGCGAAGCTGAAGGAGAACCTACACCGAGGTTAGTTTTAATTTTAAGATACTGAAAATAATTGCTTCTGTGCAATTTTATTTTTTTCATATCGGATTTAAGTTTTTTCTGAAGTCTAAGTTTGTTTGCTGATACGTCATCATGTCCCATAATTAGGCTCCCTCGTGGCTTGATGGACAACCTAATGTCCAGTAATAGTGACTCCAATTTTTCCTTGAAAATATAGATGGCAAAATATTTTGAAGCAAAAATAGTCTTTTAATAACACCAATTAGAAAGGTGATCATAGGGCCTTCTCATTGCGTTCAATATTAAAAGAAATAATATATCTTACATAATAATAACAATCAATAGATTGTCTTCTAACAACTTCGTTCTTAGAATTAAGCAGTATAGATTATAGAACTATTAATAGTTCTGCTGTAACAAAAATCTTAAATGATTAACTTTAATATTTACTGCTATCAGCATTTTTATCCATAGGAAAGGAAATGAAACTCAAACAAATTATTAGTTGACATGATATATAATTACCCTAGTCAAATTAGATTTTCAGTTTGCATTAATTCTCATACCGCTGAAAATTAGTACAGATATTAAATAGATCATTGTAAATAAAATGCCAAAAGTCCCCATCGATCCGACTTTTGTGATTTTTTTTTTAATTCAAGGTCAACGGTACAAAATTATGGTTTTCCTTATTTTCCGTGGAAACTATAAGAACTATCAAAAAATAGGTTAGATAGAAATATTAACTATAAAATTATTTAGACATTTGTAGTTACATTTTTTTCATTAGAATTATCGTTTGTGAGATATAGCCAGTTGAAAAGTTTAAAAATTTATATTCTTCATAATTTGCCGCCTTGGCCATATGATTTTTGTCTTTAATTTGACTGGGGCAAATATAAAATTAATTAAATGCCTACGTGCCTCCTAAATTTCAATATGTATTTATGAAAGTTATGTAATAACGGGTGGTCCATCTAGTGGTCCTAGTGATCTAGTGATCTTACGGTTTAGATATTTCTGTAAAGAAAACATATAAAGTATTATACATCTTTAGAAAGGTCTCAAAATTTTCAGTTTTTTTCCATATATCGCAACTTCGAATTCCGCACGGTGTATCCTACAGGCAAGTTGCTATGGTACATTTTTATCTGTATTTGCTAAATTATACTTACTGGCTAAAAGTATTTAAACTTACTACTATAATACGTGTCCAACCCGCCTCAATAGAAATATTTCCAATAATTTATTCATCTTTTCATTTATTTTGAAATATTATATTAAAAGTCGATTATTATCAAAAGCGTGTCCAACCCGCCTCAATAGAAAAATTTCCAATAATTTATGCATCTTTTCATTTATTTTTAAATGGAATAAATTACTACAAAATAACAGCTTTTTTAGTTATTATATACAAATGCATAATGTATTTGAAAACCAATTAAGCCCAAATATCTTCTGATTCTGCTCAATGATATTCATTATCGATTACATAATTAGATTGATAATCACTTATTTGATTTAACACGTTGAGCCCGGCGTCGGGCCCCATTTTACTAAATGACCGTCGTCGTCTCCGATGAACGACACTAGAATTTTTCTTTGGATTGTTTGTGCGATCAACAGTAAAAAATAAAATTAGTTCTATAGATAAACAAGTATAAATCCTAATTAGTCCTAATGAAATGCTATCAAATATAATTTTGATGAAATTTTTTGAAACCTTCTAAACAAAAATGTGTAAGTTGTAAACGTTGCCGACAGTAGAATTTGGCGCCGGGCTCAACTTGTTATGTAATTATTTAAATGTAAAGCAATCATTGTTAGGCACGTACCTTTACTTGATCTTTTTAAGGAAACAGTTATAATAGGGAAGTAAAATGAAAACAATTTAAGAGAAATCGAAATTTAAACACAAACCTCAGACTGAAAAGACACTTTCGATCATTGGTGTTCTAGGCCACTGGTTCATATCTTCACAAGTTGCCTCAATGGACGTCTCAGACACTCAGATGCTTGAATTTGCAATTTGATACTGTTTGGTATATTTCTTGTTTTGAAGTATTCTCTTACAGTTGGAATTTTAAGACATTGTTTATCAAAAGCTTGCTAATTAGCACATTGTTAGAACACGTATTTTATTTTTGCTTCATCTTCTTCGAATTAAATATTCACATATATTTGCAAGCGTAACTTCGAAGCTCGATAACAAAAATAATTACAGTAGTCATGTTATTTATTTTCAAGAGCAGGATTGTAGTTTATTTTAATTTCATATATTAAATTTTGTTTTATTCGATACGGAAAATCTAAAACATGATTTAAATTATTTCATATGTGTTTTTTAATTTATGATTTATTGTACCTATACGAGGCTACATAACCGTTGGGAATTATAACTGCCGATCATCCAACCGTATCTCCACATTTAGGGCTTTGAGAGTTATTTATCTTATCATATATTGCATTGCGGTAATACTAAACAATATTGAAATAGATATTTTGGATATACTTAAAAATGTAAATATTACATAAATTTCGGTAGAATTTATTTTTTTAGTATGCGGTTTATTTGAAATTCAAAAGACAATCACATATAAATATTATATAGAAAACGCATTGAAACTTTATTTTTCTTTCGAAATTGTCAATTTTTGTTTAATATAAAACTCATAAAACTTTTCCTCTTCTTGCATTGTTTAGAGAATGATGTTTATCTCATTTGTATTAAAAAACTTATATTGATAAATTAAAATTTTGGCATATTGTGTTTTTACTTCTTCATAATTATTTTATGGTAATTAAAATATATTATAATATTCATACAATGATTTCTAAATATTTCAAGTTATATATTTTTACAAAAATATGAGAATTTTGATTCGACGTCTTTAGAATTTTTGTTTGTTGTATGTCTACGAGTATTTATTAACACGTCAATTGCCACGATATTATAAAACATAATTCATATGGCTACGGTAATTTTATTAGATAAATTAGTTAAAAATGTATCAAGGAAACTTAATGTGAAATATTAACTGTTTCCACTCGCAAATTGTAGAATCAATACGTATTTTGCCTCCGGAGCGGCGGCATTCGAGTGGAAAGGGTTAGTACGGAAAACACTAATTTTATTATATACAAATATGACTGTTGTGGTCTTATAAATAATCATTCCAAATCTGCTGATGAATATTTCTGACGAAATACCAGATCAAGATTATTTACAGTGTTATCTCTGTAAAAAATGCACCCTTGAAATTTATATTTTGTATTGGTCAAATAATGCAGCAATTATTTTGTAAAATATCTTTAAAATTAAAATAAAACATTAGTCCTGTTTGCACTCTGACCGTCTCAATTTGCCCCGCCGAAACGGACCAGGTTACAACATTTTGAAAAACTTTTTTTTATTTCACCATATAATTTACTGTCTTTAGTCCGCATCAAGTAAATTTAAAGATAATATCATTAGATTACATATTACAAATAAATTGACAATAGTAGAAGTAGCCAGTGATACTTGTACTTTAAATACAAAATACATTTGTTTGGATTTTTGTTACAAAGGAAAAGAAAAAAATTGAGAGAATATCAACTGAAATTTCATATATGTTACAGAGTTCTAATGAATGTGTTCGTTTTAGTCTCTTTGGAATGTTTTTTGCCAATTGGTTCAGTTAGTTAGGGCAAATTGCTGGAACTTCCCGTACCAAAAATTATTATTTTTTTTAAAAAGGATTAACATGTTTGAAAAAAAATTACTTCGAAGAAATTAGATTTTTGAGAAACTATAAATTTGTCAAAAACTTACATTTTTTTTTGAAAAAAAAATGTTTTCTTTATTTTGACATATTTTGGAATTTCTGAACTTTTTTTCAAAGCAATCGTACTGCTTTAACTGCATAAAGACGAAATGTCAAAGCGCGTAAGCGACGCGTCGCCGTTAAAATCTCTATAAAATATCTGATAATTTGATGTGCATATGTCTAATGATCATTTTTGACCGTCAAATGGCATTTTTTTTTTACTTTTTTCATTAGATCTCCGAAACCGCTAGACCTGCCTTCATTAAAATTTGAACAATTCTTCATCTTGTCAATACAAGTGAAATGTTTTTTGAATTATTCAAATCGCTCTGTTCTCTTAAAAACTGAGTTACTGTTTTTGGCACTTTCGCCCCGTATCTTCGGAACGACTATACCTGCCTTTGCCAAAAACTAAACTGCACGTCTCCTTAATAATACGAATCGAATGTTTTTTGAATTATTCAAATTGCTTCATCCGTGTTCCCGAAATCGTCGACGAAAATTTGTATCCGCACACACACATATATCCATTTTTTTTAAAGTATGCCAAAATGTTCAGAAGGTTTTGAAACGTAAAGATATATAAAAATTTTCGTTTTCGATTTTTTTTGCGATTACATTACGGGAAGTTAAAAACACATTTCTACAACGATGAATTAGCTGGAACTTGTAAAATCCGATAATTTTATGTGCAAATGCCCAATAATTATTCTTAACTATCAAATTGCATTTATGACTGAATCTAGTCAGATAGTTATTTGTTTGATATGTGTTATTTGTTGGGATATAATTGGGTTGGTTTTCACTAGTGATGTGCCGACTCGAAAATTTCCCGATTCGAATGATTCGAATCAGAAAAAAACCTGATTCGAATCATGATTCGAATCAACTCGAATCAAGTATATATATAGACAAAACTAGTGGGGTGGGTGGCATCGTGCCTTAAGGCAAATTGCTGGAACTTCCCGTACCGTAACGAAACGTTCGAGGAATATTGAATGTTTTCAAATAGATTATTATAAATATTGTATTATTGTCTAATATTTATAAGAATTATATAAACTGAATTGCAGAGTTGAATCTATTTGTTTAAAGTATGTTAGAACTATAGTCAGAATTAAAAATAAAGTCTGTAATATTTTCGACATACAAAAAATTTAAAAAAAAAAAAAAAAAAAAAATGGTACAAATTTTTTTTTTTCCAAAATCAAT